CAAAAGTTTGGGGTAATATATATATAGGAATCTGTGACCTTGAGTTAAAAAAAGAAAAATACAATTTTGTAACCACTTACTAAAAGAAAAGTAAAAACGATACTCTTAATTGACAAAGAATCTACCTGCAGTTATAAAGATTATGAAATGTGAAAATACATTATGCATCTGTATAACATAGTGTACCTAATGCAAAAAATGATGGCATGAGAATTAAGGATGTTCGCTCCTCTTGGTTTTGAATTTTTGCCAGATATTCGGAATCCTCTGGTTTTATCCATGTAGTGCCATTAAAAATTTTGCCCACTAACCCCTACTTTTTTTTCCATAATTTCATTACATATAGTTTAAAATGTCATCTTTGAAAATCTTATAAAATCCTTGTTATTTTTTCATCGTTTTTGAAAGAAAAAAGGTGCCAATGTTAAATATATGAAAAATCAAGAGAGAATTATTTCCCGCCACATTTTCAATGGCTTATATCTCGAAAACAAGCACACTGACCCTTCATTATTTTCTGCTTTTTTAGCTTCTTTATTCATATTCTAACAATATATAATAGTCTTTTAAAAAGCTTGTTATTTTGAAACAGAGTAGCGAACATCCTTTTAAAATGTTAATGTTGCCCTTCATTATTCTGATTAATGGAGAAATTTTCTCCACAATCAGGATATTGAAAAAAAAGGTACAATAGGTGCCTTAATCAATACAGGGAATTCTATGGCATTACTTCCATTTTGTAAGATTTTATCAGTTTTGATAAATTGACATTATTAAATGTCTAAAAAGGTTTAAAGTGTCTTAAAAATTGTGACTTTATCAGGTTTGATTATCTTGTTCCCGATAATTAGGTTATTAGAAGGATTATAGAACCTCGTGACAATCATTTTGTACAAACAGTACTTATCGTTTCACACTGAGTATAGAATATTTGCTGATTAAGTTGAATTTTTATGCCCCTGCTGCTAGGCGAGGGGGCATTAAGTGTTACCCTTGTCTGTCTGTACTTACATACGTCCCAAAATTGGTTTCTGTTCTCTTACTTTAGTTTTGCTCAGTTAAATGTTATGAAACTTACACACATTGCTTATTTCCATAAAACACAGATCAAGTTTGAAATTTTTTATAAATTCTGTTTTCTGGAATTCCGACCCTTTTGAGAAATCTTGGATCCGCCCCTGTGTTATGTGTGTGTAAAAATTGTGCATTACAGGACAGAAATAGCAAAAACTTAAAATTTTAATGAACTTGTAAATAAAAGATATTAAAATTGAGAATGGAAATGGGGAATATGTCAAAGAGACAACAACCCGACCAAAGAGCAGACAACAGCCGAAGGCCACCAATGGGTGTTCAACGCTGTGAGAAAATTCCGCCCCCGGAGGTGGTCCCCAGCTGGCCCCTAAATAAAATTGTGTACTAGTTCAGTGAAAATGGACGTCACACTAAACTCCAAAACATATAAATGAACTAAAATTAAAAAACATACAAGACTAACAAAGGTCAGAGGCTCCTGACTTGGGACAGGTGCAAAAATGCGGCGGGGTTAAACATGTTTTGATAGATCTCAACCCTCCCCTATACCTCTAGCCAATGTAGAATAAAGAAACACATAGCAATACGCACAGTAAAACTCAGTTTAAAAGAAGTCTGAGTCCGATGTCAGAATAGGTTACAAAAGAAACTAAGCAAAATGACAATGATACATAAATGAACAAATGACTACTAGCTGCAGTTACTGACATGCCAGCTCCAGACCTCAATTAAACTGATTGAAAGATTATGTCAAGTACAATCCCTCCCGTTAGGGGTTAAAATAGTATCATACAAATATATGAGAAGAACATAACCCGTATCATGCCAACAACTGGTTTTAGAATAAATGTGTTTATTTCCGATGCAAAGACCCTATGAGTGAATCAATATTAATACCAAAATATGCAATCCTTAAATGACTTGACAACAGCTTCGTAACTATATCCTTTCCGAATAAGTCTGTTTAAAGGTTTGGTTAATTTTTGAGGTGAATGCCGACATTTTTGTGCTTTGTTAAGAATATTACCATAAAATATTCGATGTGAAATACATAGTTAATATTCAATATTATTTGATTCAAAGTTTGTCACACATATTCCTTCTAAATCCAGATTTTGAGCCATCTTTAGACCTGTACAATTTGGTCCTGTACATGTTCAGAATCTGATATGGTGTTATAGAAAGCTCGAAATACACTACTATTAAGCTGTGATACTGTAAAATTCAGTATACCGGTAGATGGAAAAGTTTAATAAAAAATATTTCTGGGGAAAATTTGATCCTATATCTTTTTTTTTACACATAAAAAAAATCAGCTATGTGAGGGGGGGACCTATGTGATTTAAAAATTAGGGGAACATATATAAGCCCCCACAGTCCCTACAAATCTTTATTTAGAAATTTATGATATTATGATACAACTCTTTTTTAAGTAGAGTAATGAAAATCCATTTTTCAAAATTTCTCAGTTATGGCAATGTTTTTTCCTCAATATGATATATCTCTGCAGGATTACATAGCTTCCTTTTTCATATATTTTCAAACTTAATGAATTATAAGAAATCAATATTTTATCAGTTTTGAATCATTGATATTCAGTATGGATAAAGTTCAGGATTAAGGAATGAGTTAAATAAGTTCAAGATTATGTGGTGATTTTTCACAGTAAATGCTGGGGATTATGGGTTATTCTCTCAGAGGTTATTATTATCTCTGTATTTTGTAGTTTATTCCATATTGATAGAACTTTAGTAGGTTTTTATGCCCCACCTAGGGGCATTATGTTTTTCGGTCTGTGTGTCGGTTCGTACGTCCGTCCCTCCATTCACCTGTCTGTCCCGCTTCAGGTTAAAGTTTTTGGTCAAGGTAGTTTTTGATGAAGTTGATATGATCTTTCTAATTTTTCTAACTCTCTAGAGTTTTGACCCCAATTTCAAGGTCCACTGAACATAGAAAATGATAGTGCGAGTGGGGCATCCATGTACTTTGGACAGATGCTTGTTCAATATGAAATGGAACAAAACAGCATATTCACCTGCAGAAAAAGTATATTCACCGCTCAAAACAATACATGCTTTTACATGTACAATTGGATTTGGTAAAATAAATCGTAATAATATACATATTCTCTTGCAGAATACAGAATAAAACAATAGAGTCTTTTGTTTCGGTAAATATGTGATTTAATTGACTTTTTAAAAACTGATATTCACTTTGGTCGTTGGCCTCAGTGAATATTATTTTTTTCAAAGTCATTAAAACCACATATTAACCTCATCAAAAGTCAATTGTTGTATAATATTACATGGATATTTTGTGACAAGAGTTGTAAATCAGGATTATATCTCAAAATAGTCAACAAGCAGAATATTACCTTGAATGAACTATATTATTGGATTGAGTTATTTCCCCTGTCTCTGTTTTGGAGAAAGTATAAAAACCAAGAAATCACAGCCCTTCTTTTAATTAATGGGTCTTCACATAAATTACTTACACACTTGGCTATTGTTGATGGCATATTTTGACCTCAATAGATGCTGATCTCTAAATGTCTTGTTTTTGTCGAAAAAATTGAATCGGACAGAAAAGTTTAATTAAAATTGCAACCACAAATACAATTGTTGAACCATGATAAGCATTAAAGATACCTGACACTCAACAGTAAACCAACTTATTCAGTGGATACATTTTTGCTGTATTTAGCCTTGTTTATAGAATTTCATACAAAAATATTTTTTTCCAATTTAAAATTTTTTTTGGTTTATTATTAGACAATTATTGATTTTTTATTTAAATAAATATTAGGGGCTACATGTGAAAGGTATCTGTGTCTCATATATAGACAAATTTCGGTAGATATTTATTTGAAAACATAAGTCCATTTGACATCTAAAGATTACAGAATAATTTAAAAAAAATTTTGGTTTATTCATATAAGAAAAAGATCTTAATTTGACATATTCATGACAATTATTTATTTTGTATTTTTAAAAGTATATATATATCAGGGGCCACATATGAAGGGTTAGGCATCTGTGGTCTTATATAGACAAATTGGGTTGATATTTATTTTAAAACATAATAAGTCCTAAACTGACATGAACGTCTTAAGATTACAGAATAATTATGGATAACCAATCTTCAGCCAAATTTATATCCATTTAAACACTTGAATGAACCTGATGTAGAGTGAGAAATCAGATTAAATCGTAAGAATGTTATCTCCTTTTTCATTCAGAAACAATCATGTAACTCTTAAGACAATACACAATATTAAATCGGTGCTCTGTTATATATCACCTGGGTAAACGCCTATGATACGAGAACTGGTGCCAAAAGTCACAAATATTTTTTTGAAAAATATCACAGTGTATCGTAAACGACTTTTAACCAATTTATCATGAATGATTTCTGTTCTAAATGTTTTAAAAACTATAGACTTGTTAATTCACAGTAGAAAGTTATATATATATATAGTTTATCTCGATATAGTGAGAAGTGAAATGTTTTAAATAATTTGTTTTGCTGTCGTATCAGTAACGATATTTTTAAAGCCATATATGATCAAGATAGTGAAAATCTGTGTATAGTATTTTAATTTGCGATGTAGATTCAATTAGCGAGCGTGCATATATTCTCTCTGATCAACGATCAGTTCAGAATGTACATCATAGATATGTTTTCTTCAAGGATTTTGTTCATTGTACAAAATTGATTTTGTGTGGATGAAGTGTTTGAAATATTACAACTTTGGAAGAAAAAAATTGTGACCTTTTAAGGAAAGTGATGAACTGTCAAGTGTATTAGGAAGACTAATTTGTAAGCATGTGAAATTTTATTAAGTAAATTTAATGGATTTTGAAATCGACACTTTAAATAACAATTTCTTTGGGAAGTTGATGTAGTCATATATATTTCAATAAATATTAAATGGTAACATCTATACTCGTTTTAACGATAGTTGGATTTAAATATTATCGTAACGGATTACTGTATCATTTCTAAAGGAAAATGAAACCTGATTTGATGAAGTCATAATTGAGTTTCTTTATTTGTATACTAACGAAAACATTTGTTGAATGGAAAGAAATATACAGATGTATTTAAAATTAGTGTTGAACTCAATTGAGAATGTATATTTAAACAAATCTTTTTGGTGTTGAGAGCCAAATGTTTTTTCAACAGTTAACAGTGTCTCAGTATTTCACATTTTCCCAGGGAAATGAAGAAGCTTTGTGAAATTAAGCTAATTTGATGAACTGGTATTGTTTGCTATAGCTGTGTAGTTATTAACATCCGTTCACCTTTTATTCCAATTGGATACTTACAAAATCCCTTCACCTTTTATTCCTATTGGATATACTTACACTGGAAGTAAATATTCTGTATTTCATTTAGATTGTGTATGAAAAAATATGGATACAAATAATATCATCTTCAGAAAAAGTGAAAAACTGTGATTCATCTCATATTTTGAGGAAATCCGGTGGGAAAAAATTTGGATTTCAGCTGGAAATATTGTTTGATGGTTACAGAATTGAGTTGCAGAGAATTTCAGAAAATTTTAAAATAGAATTGGAATTCTATATAAAATGATAAATTATTACTTGATTTAAAATCTTCTGATTTGCAGGTGAATTATTTACATGTGTTTTCACTTTTCAAGCCGATTTCCTTTTTAAAAAAAGGGGACATATTTAAGTTGCAACACATATAAGGCCAAAAAAAATAATACATGTCTTTCCGATAACGTGCTGAAAAAAAAATAGGGTAGGTAGGTAGGCAATTTCATTTTATTTTACAAACATTTTTTAGCTGGTTTCTACTAGGGAATCAGTCTGACTTTAACAGTGCTTGTTCCAAAATGGCATAAAAAGTGTTAGGGTAGGCACTAAAAATTAGGGTAGGTAGGGTTAGTGGAAACTCATGTATTATTATTTTTTTTTGCCTAAATGTCAAATTTGATTACAGTCAGCAAAAGAATTAACTTCGTTGAATTAATAATTTACAGTTAATAAAAGAAATATGCTTGATTGAATTAAATCATTTTTTTATCATGTCGTGACGCCCTTAAAATCAATAATAGTTATGTAAGGTTTTTGCAAGATAAAGAAAAAACGATAATTGTAGTGAGATAAAGGATAATTAAATAGGTATTAAAAAAGGTAATTCAGTAAAAGTAATTTTTCTACAAATAAAGGCCAAAGGTAGAAATATTTATTTCTAATAAATACCAGTGTCATTGTGACATAAATGTTTAGTGAGTCTGTTTAGCATAATTTGTGTAAAATGATTTTAATATGTTATATTGTTAAAAGTATAACCAGGTTAAATTATTTGAATCAGTTAATAATGAATTAACCCAGACAAAAAAAACTGACTATACGGTATGGGTTTTTCTCATTGTTGAAGGCCCTACGGTTGTCTATAATTGCTTACATCCACTTCATTTTAACTTTGGTGAATAGTTGTCTCATTGGCAATCATACCACATCTCCTTATTTTTATATTTTTCAGTACTCATATAAAATGTACTGACTATAAACACAATATGTAGTCACAATTGTTTTTCTTCTTTTCATATGTTAAAAAGTTACTTCCCTTTTGGTGGTTGTAAGAGTTGTCTTTCTTGTGGAAATTCTGAGGACAATCGATCAGCCTCAGTAAGGATATTGAGAATCAAAACTTGAGATTTAATCAGATTTTTATTAACGAAATTTTATTTACTGATAGAAATGAGAAACATTTCTTTTTACAAAGGGAAATTACTCTTACAAGATGTAGATAAAAAAGAAATTTTGTCTTCCTCTCATTTTAGGTCTGAGCTACACATTCTCTGAAACAAGATCAATATCTAATTAATTAAACATGTTTGGATGGTTAATTTAAACCTAATCATTTGAAATAATCAGTATAATTTTGAAAACTTAATCCTTGGAAAAAATACCTCCAGTTGATGTATAGCTTGTTTTCAAACAGTAAAAAAAGAAATTAGGGCACTTATCAATTTACTAATTAGTTAAAATCAATAGTTATACAATGTACATTCCTATCAATCAATTTCATGAGTTGTTTGAAGTTAGCCTTAATCATGTTAATGAGAGGTAATCTTTTGCTGTTTTTAGAAAAAAATCTATATCAAATAGAATTACAAGACATTTTTTGCTCTGTGATTCTGTAAGTTATCCAAGTAGGGAAAGTAATTTTTTTCTTTGATTAAATGAGAAGAGTTCAGTATTTCAATATAAAAACTCTTCCACAATAACATTAGAAGAGTTTAGTAAGTTTAGATTTATTGTTGGAAGAAAATATGACAATATTTTCAAGATGTCTTTTAACTAGGCTGATAAACTTGAACTTATTTTTTAATGTACTATCTAGAGGGGGTTGGAGTGGTGTCATCCCGAATTCCCCAAAAATAAAGTATTCTTTCATGGACCCCGAAAAGTTAATCAGTAAATCCTGGTTTTGTGCAAAAGTAAAGGTCCACTTTTGAATTTCAGCATAAAATAAAGGTCCAATTTAGAATTCCAGCATAAAATAAAGGTCCACTTTTGAATTTCAGCATAAAATAAAGGTCCAATTTAGAATTCCAGCATAAAATAAAGGTCCAATTTAGAATTCCAGCATAAAATAAAGGTCCACTTTTGAATTTCAGCATAAAATAAAGGTCCAATTTAGAATTCCAGCATAAAATAAAGGTCCACTTTTGAATTTCAGCATAAAATAAAGGTCCAATTTAGAATTCCAGCATAAAATAAAGGTCCACTTTTGAATTTCAGCATAAAATAAGGGTCCAATTTAGAATTCCAGCATAAAATAAAGGTCCACTTTTGAATTTCAGCATAAAATAAAGGTCCAATTTTGAATTCCAGCATAAAATAAAGGTCCACTTTTGAATTTCAGCATGAAATAAAGGTCCAATTTAGAATTCCAGCATAAAATAAAGGTCCACTTTTGAATTTCAGCATAAGATAAAGGTCCAATTTAAAATTCCAGCATAAAATAACTGACAAGAGGAAACAAAAGAATTCTAAAATGCATCCACATTTTCAATATTTCAAACCCTTGTCAACCTTTTTTGACAAAATTTAGCCCAATCTTTTCATAATTAATATAAAAATAAGGAGATGTGGTATGATTGCCAATGAGATAAGTGTTTGTTTTAATAGATGCATAATGGAATATTTGACACTGAACATAAGCTAACACAAATAAATCCTTTACTTAATTAAGCCACTTCTTTTTAGGAATAAAATCATAGGTATAAAAGGTGTTAATTCTCTTACTTCGTTAAACCTTTTATAATCTTGGTGTACGGTAATGTAAAATTGTTTGTATTAAGATGTCAAGATTTTTTGGAAGCTAATCTTTTCTCACTTGAAAATTTGCCCTGCAAATAGAAACCAACGTACTTCAATATTTGGAGATAGATTTTTAACAAAATGGGACCTAATACATCGATTAGATCTTAACAAAATGAACTGAAGAGGGCTAACATGTGGATGGGGGTTTACAGAATAGAGAATATAATGGGCAAAAAATTTAAAGAATAGAGAAAAATGGACCAAAAAAATAAAGAATAGAGAATAATGGGTAAAAAGTATAAAGAATAGAGAAAAATGGGCAAAAAGTATAAATAATAAAGAAAAATGGCCCAAAAAATTAAGGAATACAGATTGAAGGACCCCCATCCAGACCCTCTAACATGTTTGGAGTGTTTGCTTTAACCTTGAAATGTAAGAATTATATGTCAACTCTGACAAAATAGGAGACTTTTTAAATCTTTTTATCAACATTTGATTTTAAATTTGGGTATTTGAATCAGATTTTGTCATTGATTGAGTTCAATTTGACCCCTTTCAAAATTATGACTGAATAATTGTTTTACGTATAAAATGAATTGGGTTTTATCTTTTCCTAAAAAACTTTATAGCAAAGATTAGAAGTAAGCTATAAAGATATATATATAAAGACAAAATTTTAGTCACATTTTTCTCAAATATTTTAATTTTAAATCAAACCTCTGTTCAAAGAAATTTGCTTAGATCTCCTTTTCCTTGAAGATCTGCAATATAAATTTTTAAGTTTTGAATTCCAAAGAGGGAAGGAAAAAAAAGATATAACAAAAGTTCCTTGTTGGTTGAAGTATAAAAAGTTTTAACAATATTTTATAATAATTTAATTTTGGATGTAACACATGTTCTGATTAGCTGAAAGTTTTTTGTCTATTTCATAGACATAATTTTGTCATGTGACTGTGACGTCATCAATGTTTTTTCATGATTTGCTCCTTAAAAATGGAATTTATATATAGAATTAAATTATAAGGAATGACTGTAATATTTTTTCTGTCTATTCAAAATAAAACAAAAAATATAGGGTGCACACTTTTCTATAACACGCTACACAGGTTATTCAGTGTGCACCACATTTTAGATGTTATATCTTCATAGACAGAAAAAATATTACAGTCATTCCTTCAATACAATCAACATGATAATAAAATACTACAATACAATACAATACAAAAGGAATATTATTTCACTTTTTTAAAAATGAAATTTCCAATTTGTATTCCATTTAAGCATTAAAATGAAACATAAAACCATTTTAATTAAATTTTATTAAATATTAAATGTCTGCTTCAATTTGCCATCATGAAAGCATTTGTGATATAAATTATATAACAAGCATCATTGATTTATGATAAATGGCTGCATTTTTTGTAATTTTATGATTTATTTATGAGAGATAAAAGAGTACCAATTACAATCAAAATGCACATTTTGTGCATTGAATTATGTATAGATTTCATTGTAAAAAGATTGCACCAACTCAAAGGATTTTAAAGTTTATTCAGTAAGTAAACATTTTAAATCTTTGATTTTAATTTTCTTTAGGTCATCATGAAAAATAAATTTGAACCATTTTCTGAATCTCTCTGACAGAGTATATGCTGAATCCCTTTTACTTTGTTTTTTTGATACCATGGTTACAGTCTCAATTTGACCTTTATCCTGAGTTCACCTTTTACTCAAATAATAGCTTGAATCCTTTGTGGATAATAACGTGTATGCAAATTAGTATAAAAAAAATTGATACAATATTATCAAGATAAAGGGAAATTAATGAGCTTTCTTTTATGAGTGAGTTCTTTAAGAATTATTGCCCTTTACGACTGCAGCAGTAGAGGTGGCACTTGAAATACGACCTTTTTAAAAATATTTATATATCATTTTAATATATTATATATATCACGATCAGATTTAGTCTCTGGTGGAGAGTTGTTTCATTGGCAATCATACCACATCTTCTTATCTTTATTTTAAAGATTATTTTTAGGACAAATTGCTAATTCTAATTCTCATAAAATAATGAGACAAAAGAGAGACAACTCTTGCATATTAGACTTTTGGAATTACAAAAACAAAACAATTGTTTAGGATTGAAGTACCATTAGGCATATTGTAATATGTTTGTATGCATAATTGTAAGTTTTACAATAGTATACCGGGGTACTTCATATGTAAATAAATATAAATGAAAGGAAAATGAATGTAAACATATCATGAATAGTATTCAATAGCAAAACACAATTTCTGAAAGATGCAGTTTATATCGTACCAAAGATTCAATATATTGACATCTCCTGTATAAATTTATTTTATTCATCAGATTTATTTAAGAATAGGTATATTGATACACTTTTAAAGAGCACCTTTTAGGTTCATTAAATTGGATATGTAAATAAAAAAAATAGATTGAAGTAAATACAACAAATTGAAGATAAAATATCTTTAACTCTTTCAAAGTTCATGTGGGTAAAACATGTTTTATGTTTCTCTATAGGAAGTAACCTTTAGAAAGTTTAAGGAAACATGAAAATTCTTTAAAAGCAGAAATTGTAAAAGGAGCAACAGGACGACTCTTTTTTAATTGATGGAATTCTTAAGTGTAGCTTTTAATTAGTCTAATGCATGGTGCTTTAAAAAAATTAATTGGAATTGCAGGTAAAGAAAATGAATTCAGTTAGGATGACTGTGCTTGGGGTGGAAATTACAACTTTTTGATAATTTTATAAAATATGACGTTAGTCATGCTATTCAACAAATCCAACTGTGTAAGTTCTGAACCTTACTATAATTGGTTGTGTTTTTAATTTTTTGGACTATAAATCAAGTTTTGCTTGTGTAACACGGGAATTACTTCAAAAGATTTATACGTTTGTTATAGTGTGAAAAAAAACCAGGCGATTGCATGAGTATGCATCATAAAATTAACATTTGGAATTTTGATGGGTAGATAAAGTCATATAGATGCAATTTTAAAGTTTTCATTTAGTAGCATGATTGTGCATTTTGACTTGAATCGACCAGAGATCATGTAATTCATTACATAAAAATGTTTTAATTAAAAAGATGACAAGGATATGTAATTATAATTTTTTTCCCAGATCTGATTTGGTGCAAAATCATAAATACTTTTGATATGTGTATCAATAAACATTTGATTTTCTAACCTTGGGAATTTAACAGGACAATTTTAAGTGATTAAAACTTTTGTCACTTAAGATGAACGGAAGAAAAAATATCAATCAGTGATTGTGGAAAAAGAAAAAAGAATCGTAATTGAGGAAAGTTCCATCACTGTATAGAGAATTGTTTTAATTTTTCAAAGAGTTAAATACTGTTAATTAATTATTGCTGAGTTTTTATTATAGCTGTTAATGCAACTGGGTGAGTATAGCAATAATAAGAACTCACATTCTGATACCTGATACATATATCTGTACGCCTGAGCTTTTCCTGAAATCGCAATAAGAAATTTAGCATTTTTGTCCATTCTTCAAAAATCGCAATGATAAATATGCTCAATAATTTCTGAATTTATTGTAGCATTGACATTTATTGACTTGGGTTGTAAGGGGATAAGGATGTTTGCTGTCACTGAGATGCATACTATTGCTTGAGGCTTAAAACCAAGGGCAATAGTTGGGTTGTGTCATAGTTTTTCCCCCTTAGAACTATAAAATAAAGAAAAAATTCGATTTTTTTTTTTTACTTTCACACAAAATGTGAATAAAGTTCATCACAGTTAATCAAAAGAAATTCAAGATATAAATCAATAACGGCTTTTTAGAATAAACTTGCTGATTTAAAAAAAAAGCACTTTTTTAATGACGTAACATTCCATTCTTTTCTACAATTGACAAAGGATTTGTTTTCGAAAAAAGATTTGCAAATTAAAAGAAATATTATTGATTTAAGCATCACAGAAAGTAAATCTATGCAGAAATCCGACAAAAAATTATACAGATTATTAAAATTACCAGGAAATTGTTAGGCATTTTATGTCCAGTAAAAAGGACAAGCTCTCATAACTCTGGGAAAAAGTATCGGTTTGTTTTGTTCAACCTATAATTTGTTTCTGGTTAATTAATTGTTAATGGTTTGTTCTTGAAAGACACTTTCCAATATTCTAAAGCAGTATAAAATCTTATTTTATCTGAATTCCATTTCTGGAAAATAATTCAGTACTAATTTGAATTTAGGTGGTAGTTGGAATTTTGGTTACCCGAAGAAGAAAGGCTTCCGATGGAGTATAGAGACTTACAAATAATTTTTTTGAAACAACAGGTTGAAAGTTTATTGAAGAAAATTGAATTATGAAAAATTTTTAACATGGTGTGTGAACGAATATTAAGTGTTATGAAATGATTTATGCAAATGATATGCAAATTCATGGAATGCAGTGGAAGATATTTGAAGAATTTGTGAGATTTAGGCTATAAAGGATCAGTTTATTAGTGTGTTTTGTGATATATAAAATCAAGTATTAGGACTAAGTGGATGAACATACAATATATATGTTTGAAAAAAGTTTTTTCCACCCAGAAATTGAGAAAAGTGTTCAACAATTACATAAATTGATGGTGTTACATAGACTGTCACTCAAACCTCAAGTTGTATCTTATCTCTGCATTTTGTCAAGGTTTTTATGCTAATTCAGGATTTAACACAAGATAATATTTGTAGTACAAGTATGACCACTATGACCTCAGGATAGATAAATTCTTGATGCTATCATATAATATTGCATCACTTAACTTAATGTGTTCAAAAACTGATCTGTAATAATTAAAAGTGCCAAAGTGTATTCATTTGAAGAGATTTTACAGAGCGAACATTTCTTAAGTGAATTATAGATAACTACTATTCATGTGTTGGAAAACATTTACTTGTATGAATATAAATAGATATAAAACATACTGTTTATAATAAATGACAAAATAAACAAAATGGTGTCTGCATACCTTTTACCACCTCTGCCTAGCAGACCAACAAAAGTTGTAGCAGTTCCACGATATCATCCTAAACGTCTACGTCAGTCGCCTACATTACCCATAGTTCCATTGATTAAACATGAACGTCAAAGAAAACGTAAACTTGGATGTGGACTCCTGCCACCAATTGTTGTGGACAGTAGATTGTTAGCATTTAGAAGTAGAACACGGACAAGATTAAATCTGGTAAATACAATCCTAACAGTTACATTCTTATGTTTTTTTATACCTCCGCTTTAAAAAAGTAGGGGTTTACTGTTTTATCTCTGTCTGTCCATCCGTCAGTCCATCCATCTGTTCGTCCCATGAATAATTTTCGTCGCATCTTTCTCAGGAACTACATAACAAGGATTTCTGAAATTTAGTTTCAGGGTTTATATGAGTCAGCTATACAGTGTGATGTGTTTCCGATTCATCACTCAACAATTTCCTGTTTACCTTATACTTTTAGCGGGGCGGCGGTATCGTTAGTGAGCAGTAGCTCACAGATTCACTTATTATACATCCATTCCAAAGGAGGGGGGGGTGTACTTGTTTCTTTCCATCCATTTGATAATGATTTAGTTGATTTTTTTCACAGGAACAACAAATAAGAGCTTTCTTTAATCTATGCATTTTTTTACATCCAATCATTCATCACCTATATAAAAATAAGGAGATGAGGTATGATTGCCCAAGAGACAACTATCCACCAAAGTTAAAAAAAGTGGATGTTAGCAATTATAGGCAACTGTACAGCTTTCAACAATGAGAAAAATCCTGTTTACTAACTACTTATAGCGAGGGTATTACAATATATCAAGCTCTATTAACCCAGAGTTAAAGTTGTGAATAAAGTTTAGAGACTATTAAGATTCTAACGTAAATAATTTGATTGTTTCTCATTTGTGTCAATTTTATGTTACTGTAAATTCAGAAATTATTGCGATGTTTTTATCATTGTGAAAACTGTGACAGGGTTATATCGCAATAATTTAATCTCGCATTTTGAAATTTTTTATATGAATTAAACAGGATTTTTCTCAATATCTCAAAAATTAAAATCGTCTTTTAGTCTAAAATGACAAAATCGCAATAATATATGAACGCAATAATTTCTGAATTTACAGTAATTTATCAGGTACAGTCAAACCTGCTCTTAAGGTAACCTCTTTTTTGGGGATGTCTTGTTTGAATGCAGTTACAATTTCAAAGGTTACCTTCTGTATAAGGTAATTAGTTTTTCCCAGTTTTCCGAGGACGACCTCTATATACAGGCTAGACTTTATTTGACCTTTTTCTGCCTGTTAACATTGAAGTTTTAGATTTTAGAATTGTCTCATATTTTAGTGCATTAGTTATTTTCTTTTTTTAAACTGTTTGAAAATTTGTAAAGCATTTAAATGATCATTGTTAAATGTTTACTGTACAATTGACATATCGTTGCAATCAAACATGCAGAAATACGCAACATTGATTTTTCTCATGATTAACAAGCGGTTACATAAAAAATTAACAAACCGTTTGAAATTGATCAAACAGCCATCAATGTTGTATAGTTAGTCTGGCGTAGAATGTGATAAATGTTTATTAATGGAATTACAAAAGATTTTTAAAAATGATTGTTTGCTTGGGGCAGAAGGATCAATATTTGACAGATCGTCAGGATAAACTTTGTACTTTTATGTTGGAGCTTATTTATGAATTCTATCAGAGAAAGATTTTGCTGTTTTGTATTCGCTTTCCAGTTTTCTATTTATTTTTCTCTTTTGTTTGGAAGAGGGGAGGGGGAGGGGGGCAGTATGATTTCATGCTTCTTTTGTGTTTTTATTGAGGTGTAAAAGCATCGACTAAAGCATATTTTTAAATGAAATGCAGAAGTGCTTCATCTTAAAACTGTGTGTGGGATCAACAACTCTTTTACAACCCTATCAAATTATGAAAAAGAAGCATTTAATTAATGGTAATTAATTTTTTGACATTTTTAGGTTACAACCATATCATCGTTTTTGTTTGTTTTCCAATGCGTTGTTATGACGTTGGAATGGGAAGCATGCGCAGTCATGAATGTTGCTTTTCATTAAAATAAAATATATAAATTTTGGAATGCCTGAGTAGCAACTGTTGTCTGCCAATCAATACACAGGTTACTCTAATTTTTGTGCTATTTTCAAAAAATTTTGATTGGTGTGAGAAAATATTTCGCCTCACTAGTGAAATATCTGCTCTCTGCAAATTATTGGTCGAAATTTAATTATGATGTCAAATTTTCTTGGTTTCTTCTGAATTTCCTATTGTGACGTCATGAAATTAGGCGACCATGCCTGATGACGTCACATATAAAGAACACAACTTCCTGCAAATCTTTGAAAAGGAAGGATAAAAATCATTAGAGAAACAGATTCCACCACTATAACTCGTGTATTACAATATTTCTCCACTCTCAAAAGTTGAATTTTAATTATTTAAAAAGCTCGGCAAGCCTCGCACTTTACATATTAAAATTTAACTGTCTCGAGTGGAGAAATATCTGAACACTCTTGTTGCAGTGGTGAAATCAATATTTCTCCACATGCTTGTATTTCATGATTTCAATTAAAAAATGTTTATGCCCCGCCTAGGATAGTAGTAGGGGCATTATGTTTTCTGGTCTGTGAGTCTGTTCGTCTATCTGTCTCGTGTCAGGTTAAATTAAGTTTTTGGTCAAGGTAGTTTTTGATATATTTGAAGTCCAATCAATTTGAAACTTTGTACACATGTTCCCTATGATATGGTCCTTCTAATTTTAATGCCAAATTAGAGTTCTGACCCTTATTTCATGGTCCACTGAACATAGAAAAGGAAAGTGCGAGTGGGGCATCCGTGTACTATGGACACATTCTTGTTTAGTTTTGTTCATGAATAAAAAAGACTTTCCTGTTAGTTAATGAAAGTAAATTAACTGATCATTAACTAAATTAACTGACATTCCATTAAAAAGTGAAAACTTTCTTGCGGCTTTGATATCAATGATCTTACTTGATAATATCATTAATAAAAGAAATCAAGTTGAATTATTATTTCATCATTTTCATGATTTCAATTCTGGAAATAAATGTTCATGAAATTTTTGCAGTTCTTTTTTTTATATAAATGATTCACCACAAAAAAATGACCCTCCCACAAAAAAAAAAAACCCCAAAAACAAACAACATTCAGCTGGAATATATAGAAATAGGATTATTTAAAAGGTCTTGGAACTCTTAAAGGCAAACGTTTTGTTTGGCTTGATTAAATTCTGGAAAAAAAAGTTCACAAAAAAAGACAACCCCCACTTGGTTTACATAATCCACCCCCCATTTTATTCTCTTGTGTTCAAATTTTGTCCAGTATTTTAATTGCTACACATGTTTAAGCTGGCTTTTCTATGATGTAAGATTTTTTAGAATTAGCATTAATTATGTATGAGACACTTGGATGAGTAAGTTCGGGTCAATTACATTAAATTTATGTCTTCAAATGGTAAAAATGACCATCGGAAGACATCATGACTATATAAGCCATTAACAAGTTATGACAATTTTATAGCTGGTTCATGAAAAACCTTTCTCTTTAAGCAATAAAATATGTATCACCTTGAATTAATTACTATTTTATTTTTAAAATTAAAAGTCTTAAATCATTTATTTATTTTGAAAATAGAAATAAAATAGTTTAATTGTTACTTTTAACACTAAAAGTTTTAATATCAAAAGATCAAAGGGATTTTTGATTGGGTTTTACCAGGTAGGGGTTAGACAGGTGACGAAATCTCCTTTCACGAGACAGGTTGAAAATATAACTTTTCTCAAATTTGGATAAATATTTCACAGTCATACATATCCATTGTAAAATGTTTGTTTTTCATATTTTTTGTTTTTCAATGTGATTTTGAGGAGTGACAAATACTTATGTTAAATAAAGCAGGAATTTAGGAAATGATTTTGAATTCTTCTGGATATATGATTTTTTTCTGTATTTGAATAATTTTACACAAGAAAACTTGAAAAAAGTCAGTACACAGTTGAAAATTTCGTTTAATTGTAAAAAAGTTTTGTGAAAAATAGAAGAAAAGTGATGCAGTATAAAACGAAAAAAATATTATTATTAAAAAATGTTGTGCTGAGTCGTGTGACGTGTAAATTTCTTCTGTGTGGAAATTTTAAAAAATGATACTCGTTCAAATCACAGAAATAAAAGTAAAAAGTTGAAATTTTGTAATATTTACATGTGGTGGAATTATTTTTGTGAAAGATAAGGAGAAAAGTTAATAAACCAGAAAAAGTGTTAAATGATAAATACACTTGTGATTATTGTGTTTGGAAATCAGAAAATCATATTTGTGAACACTTGAGTTTAAAAAGCCATAGAGAAGCAACATCTATTGGTATTAGTTAAGATAATGATGTCAAAATTTATATTAATAAGTGATAATAACTTTAGAAGATTTTCTGATTTAATTGAATAGAGTAAAAATGTTGTGATTAGTGGCAGTCAGAGAAAGTAGGAATTGTTTATTAGTGGAATATTTCTTGACCTTTGACCTGGATTTTGTGAAGAAATGATAACATTTGCAAAAGTGAGTGATCAATGGCAGTAAATTAAGGCAATAAAATTTTGGAAAAGTAGGAATTACTTGCTAGTGGAATATTTATTGACCTTTGACCCTGAATTTTGTGAAAAAGTAGCACTAATTCATTTTAACTATTCGCAAAAGTGATATGATCAGTAAAGCAGTAAATTAAGGCAATTGAATTGAGGAAAAAAGTAAGGTATTAGTTGTTAGTGGAATATTTATTGACTAAATTAACCTGAATTTTGTGAAATAAAGATACTAAACAATTATGTATATAACATTTTGGGAGTATCATTTTGGAGACAGAAAATTGATACATGGAGCAACACAATTAATACAACATGCTAGATATTACAAAGCAGTTAAGCCAAGATGTCCATTGAAAGTAGGTATCATTATATTATAAATACCATACAGTATATTTAAGGATGTTCGCTACTCTGTTTCAAAATAAAGCTTTTTAAAAGACTGTTATAAATTGATAGTAAATAAATAAAGGAACTTAATTAAAAAGCAGAAAAAATGAAGGGTCCGTACTAAGCTCGCCTTCAAGATATTTTAAACCTTTGAAAATTTGGCGGGAAATGATTCTCTCTAGATTTTACATACATATAACATGGGCACCTTTTTTCTTTCAAAAACTATGAAAAAATAAGGATTTTATAAGATTTTCAAGTAAGGCTTGATTAAACTATATCTAATAAAATTATGAAAAGAAAAATAGGGGTTAGTGGGCAAAATTTTTAATGGCACCACATGGTTAACACTAGAGGATTCCGAATGTCTGACAAAACGTCAAAAACAAGAATAGCGACGTCCTTCAGAAATTTTGTCAATATGTTCAAAAGTTGAAAATTAAGACCCCATTCACACTAGCACTTTTCTAATCCATCTAAATTTTAATCCATCTAAATTTTAATCCATCTAAATAAAACCAGTTAGCTTTCATATTATCTTTAATCCTAACAATCTCTTTTGGTCTAATCTGAACCACTGCGTTCACTGTCTACATATAAAAAAGCAGTCGATCTAGTTACCTAATTACCAGTGAAAGAATATAAACACTGTATAAACAGAAATATTTAATCAAATTAATGTTTGGATACTGTTGTTCCTATAGTTTTCGTTGATTTTCAGCCGTTTTATATTTGTCATCCATTTTGTAATAAATTACATGTGTAATTTTGCCGCCGTACATGCGCACACATTATTTTCGATTCAATCGTACTAGTTTAGATCGATATCTGCATTCACATCTAAAGTTAGATTGGTTCACTTTAGATTGATTCAAACTAATTAAACTACCTCTTTTTGGTGTTTTAGTTTAGACCGATTTAGGATAGATTCAAAGTGTTAACATTGGGCTTAAATCGATCTAAAGTGAACCCATCTAGTTTAAATCCATCTAAATGTCCAAGTGTGAACAGGGTCTAAGTAAAAAACAGTGATTTCAGGGAAGGATGCTTGTAAAATCGGGATTTAAATTTTAGATGTGAGTTTTATGTTATATAATACGACCCTCATGAACTTTTCTGTCTGAAAATGTCTTATAATGGCTATAATAGTTGTCTTTATATTGTCATATGATTTTGATATGTAGTCACAATTTTCACAGTACTGAAACATTGCACAATTTTTATGCCCCACCTATAATAGTAGAGGGGCATTATGTTTTTTGGTCTGTGCGTCCGTTTGGTGTCCGTCCGTTTGTCCGTCTGTCCATCTTCAGGTTAAAGTTTTTGGTCAAGGTAGTTATTTTATGATGTTGAAGTCCAATCAACTTAAAACTTTGTACACATGTTCCCTATGAATTATTATGATCTTTTTGATTTTAATGCCAAATTAGAGTTCACCCCAATTTCACAGTCCACTGAACATATAAATTAAAATGGAAGTGCAAGTGGGGCATCTGGGTGCTATGGACACATTCTTGTTATAATTTGCAGTATTTCATTAAATACAAAAATGGTAAGGATCAATTTAGTCAGAAAGTTCTCTAATAAATCAAAACTCGTCTTTCATAATTGTTGAATCATTCAGGTAGGTAAATTAGTATTTAGTTCATAGCCTTATGGCAAGTAAGATATCTATCTCCAGCAAAAATTGGCATGATCTTTACTGGAAATTTGGTAAGTATACTTTTATATATAAATAAGAAGATGTGGTATGAGTGCCAATGAGACAACTATCCATCCAAGTCACAATGTGTAAAAGTAAACCATTATAGGTCAAAGTACAGCCTTCAACACGGAGCATTGGCTCACACCGAACAGCAAGCTGTAATTAGGGCCCCAAAAAGACTAGTGTAAAACAATTCAAACAGGAAAACCAACGGTCTAATCTATATAAAAAACGAGAAACACTTTTTGAACATCAGGTTCAATGACAGCAATTGGACAACAGAACAAAACAAAAAGGACATCTGAAGGTCAACATTTAGGATTCAACTTGAGACAGGTGATCACGATCAGTCCTCATTGTTTAACTTTAGATTGCCTATAGTCTTGGACAGTTTAAAGAATAACTAAATAGAGACTTTCATAGATCTGCCATCAATGCTGATTTTTTTAAGGATGTTCGCTTGTCATGTTTTGGAATTTTTGTCAGATTTTCGGAATCCTCTGATTTTATCCATTTGAATGCCTTTAAAAATTTTGCCCGTTAATCTCTACTTTTCTTTTCATAATTTTTGTCGAGCCTGCGACTTTTGTCGCAGAAAGCTCGACATAGGAATAGTGATCCGGCGGCGGCGGCATTAGCTAACTTCTTAAAAGCTTAATATTTTAGAAGGTAAAAGATCTGGATGCTTCATACTTTGTATATGGATGCCTCATGTTACGAAGTTTCCATCAGTCACATGTCCAATGTCCTTGACCTCATTTTCATGGTTCAGTGACTACTTGAAAAAAAAGTTAAGATTTTTTGTAATGTTAAATTCTCTCTTATTATAAGTAATAGGATAACTATATTTAGTATGTGCGTACCTTGCAAGGTCCTCATGCCCGTCAGACAGTTTTCACTTGACCTCGACCTCATTTCATGGATCAGTGAACAAGGTTAAGTTTTGGTGGTCAAGTCCATATCTCAGATACTATAAGCAATAGGTCTAGTATATTCGGTGTATGGAAGGACTGTAAGGTGTACATGTCCAACTGGCAGGTGTCATCTGACCTTGACCTTATTTTCATGGTTCAGTGGTTATAGTTAAGTTTTTGTGTTTTGGTCTGTTTTTCTTATACTGTATGCAATAGGTCTTCTATATTTGGTGTATGGAATGATTGTAAGGTGTACATATCTAGCTGGCAGGTGTCATCGGACCTTGACCTCATTTTCATGGTTCAGTGGTCAAAGTTAAGTTTTTGTGTTTTGGTCTTTTTTTCAAATACTATATGCAATAGTTCAACTATATTTGGTGTATGGAAATATTTTATGATCTATATGTCAGTCACACAGGTTTTATTTGACCTTGACCTCATTTTCAAGGTTCATTGCTCAGTGTTAAGTTTTTGTGTTTTGGTCTGTTTTTCTTAAACTATAAGCAATAGGTCAACTATATTTGTTGTATGGAAGAATTGTTAGCTGTACATGCCTGCCTAGCATGGTTCATCTGACCTTGACCTCATTTTCATGGTTCATTGGTCAATGTTTAGTTTACTTGGTTAATGTTAAGTTTGTGTGACAGTTGTGATAAAGCTTTATATTTAGGACTATCAACATAATATCAATGATTAGTAAAGAAGGCGAGACATTTCAGTGTGTGCACTCTTGTTATTACACATAATTTAAAAAGCCATATTTGAAAATCCTATAAAATCCTTGTTTTTTTTCATAATTTTTAAATGAAAAAGGGTGCCAATGTTAAATGTATGAAAAGTCTAGAGAGAATTATATCCCGCCAAATGTTCAATGGCTTATATCTCGAAAACAAGCACACGGACCCTTAATTTTTTTTCTGCTTTTTTAATTCCTTTGTTTATATACTATGAAAAGTATCCATTTATAACAGTCTTTTAAAAAGCTTGTTATATATATATTATTAAGGATGTTCGCTACTCTATAAAAGAAATTGGAATCTTTTTTTGTATCTAATATTTGTAATATTTTAACACTTCACATTTAATTTTGTTAGTGTGTCATACTTTCTTGAATCTGAATAAAATTTTGAGATGAAAATTTTTGTTCTTGTCTTTTAAACTTATTTAAATTTGTGATGAGACAATTCCAAATCTGAATATACAACACTTAGCTTAAATTTGTTTAGAAATAAGATACTTAAGCCTCTAAGAGAGACAATTCAAATATTTTCAGATTGTTCTTTTGGCTAATTTATGGGGTCTTCTTCTTACCACTTAATTTTAGTCATGTGAAGAAAACCATTGTCTGTTGACCATGTTATTTAGGAATGGTATTGAATTACCTCCCCTTAGTCCTTAGATCAAAGGGAGACAATTGAGTTATCCCCCTAAATATAGCTGTGATATTTTGTTTTGACTCATGTTTCAGACAATAATATGATATTTTTTTTTCAGTCACTGCTCGATTCACAGAAGTCAAAGGGAGTTTTAAATACAGATTTCCCAGAAGACAAATCTGAAGCATCTAGTCGATCCGGATCAATCAAGGGAAAAACACTTAAACGCAGGAGTAAAGATAAAGGTATGATTGAGCAATAAATGGGAGATAATCAGAATATTCAAATAAACTCGATTGTCATCATCTGAGAAAATTTGTTTATGTTCCAAAGGGTTTTTGTAACAGCCAGATGAATAAAGGGAGTTAACTCAGATAATTTAACTTTATAAAGGAATGTGTAATAAATATACATTCTTTGTTCTGTAGCATAATCTTCCTAACTGAAAGAAACACATTGTGAAGAATTTTTTTCAAAACGAAAAGGTGATAAAAAAATATAAAACACATTCCATTAAAAAAAAAAATTGATATCACTCTCAAAGTTACTATTTTTTGGGGGAATGGGGGGATTTTCAGTATTGTTAAAAAAAAAAGGATAAAACACACACACTCTTGCTATAAATAGTATTAAAGATCATGAAAAATACATTTTTTATTTCCCTATACAGATGTGACATTCAGTGCAGTGGTATCAATATTAAAATTTGGTAACTACATCGTTGTGTTTTATTATGCTATGCTTTTTACAGATTTGCCAATTACATCAGTATTGTCAATTTTTTTCATATTGTTTTCATACACGTTTATATCTTTATAAACTTTTCATCTCTTAGATTTGAAAAAGACAAAAAATATTTACTTACTAAAATTGCATGATATTTATACTAAATTATTTTTTTTCATTTCAAATTATTTTTATAAACATGAGGAAATTTTTTTATGTGGAAGAATCATTTTCAAATGTTAAGATATATTCACAATGTTTAAATTTCCAAAATCTAAATATACATACAAATTTTGTTTTAATCCAATTAAGTATATTGTGGTTTCATTTATTTTCGTGGGTACAAATTTTCATGGATTGAGAAAAAGATAATTTCGTGGATATTTGATTTCGAGGTTTTGCTAAATTTTGCATATACTCCTAAAGAAAATTTGTACTTTGTTTAACAGTTTAATTCGTGGTTCACCTACGCACAAAATCAACGAAAATTGGTCCTACGAATAATAATGAAACCACAGTACGTCATATATTTGAAAAGATACAACTGTGGATTGACTATTATTCATTGCGTACCAATTCCACGAGTTTCATGTGTATGGATGAACCATCAATTGAAAGATAAACGAAGTATAGATATCTAAAAGTCTTGTATGTTTGTGGCAAAACCACAAAATCAAGTATCCACATAAACACAACGTATCTTCTTTAGTAAATTTGTACTCATGAATATTTTATGAATCCGCATTTATTCAAATGTTATTTTTAGCTGTACATTATTCTAACCAAGGCTTATATTTATTAAGTTCATAAAACTATTTAATAGTTAGACATGATAATTTTATAGAGCAGAATTATGATGCGTACAAATCCAATGTTGTTTTTTTGTCCAGTTATTTTGCTAGAATAGAAAGTTGGTAAATTTTGTGTGCGTAGGGTTATTCTGGAGAAAAGTGGTATGAGAGTTTAAGAAAGACAATCGTTATGATTAATCTCACAATTTTGTCAACTGTTCAGAAAATGAATTAATAAATGCATTCAAACATTTCTGAATTTACAGAATATTCCATGATAGATTTAAAAAAAATTGTGTATATTGTTTTAACTATTGAGACCAATTTTCTTTATTTTTTCAATAACCCCCCTAATATAAAAATATTCTTTATCTATATGTTAGCTCCCCATTTTTAACTGGATTTTTGAAGGAAAAATCAGTTATTGATATGGGGATGTACGGCAGGGGGGATTATTGGGGGTGGGCAGCTGCCAAACAGTGTCCGTTCATTAACATGAAAACACTTTGACAAAATCTTTTCAAATTTAGATATGTTGTTTCCTGTGACTAAATGAAGGTCAAGTATAGTTTTCATTATTTTAGCTGTTCTCGTTGTTGAGTTATAGACCTTTCAGAAGCAAAAGTGATACTTATTATATGATTTATTTATTTTGAGTTATTTCCCTTTGATTCTCATTTATTTTTTTAGCCCATTATTATCAATTTTGTCAACACAGGTTGTTAGTTTAAGTACCCCCGTAGGTGGCAGGTGTCACTCCAATCTTAATTGATATGGATTGTCAGTTTTCAAAGGTCTGTGGTTCTCTCCTGGCAATCTGGATTCCTCCACCAACAAAAACTGACCACCACAATATAACCAATAGAGGTGAAAGTGGCATTAAACACCAACAACAAATCAATTTTGTAAACCCCCATCCAGACCCTCAATCATTGTAAATTTAAACTATAATGCAATAGACCTTCACAGTACAGCTTATGCAGATTTTTATGTCGGTCAAAATGGGGACATAAAATCTGATGCCTCTGATAGGTTGAGTGTCCCTTTGAACGTTAAGAACCTTTACAACAGCTCTTTGAGGGGTCCATAGATGGCCTGTTGCAAGGCTAGATTTCTGTCCCTATCCAATACTACCCTCATCTTCCAGTGGCAGCCCAAATTTACCACCCTTCATCCAAGTAGACCCCTTTTTACAGGACCTACCTATTGTATTTGTTTATTAATTTGTTCTTGTCCTGAACATGCATGAAATATTTGCCACTGGACGTTTGTCATGTACTTTGAATTCTCATTCTTTGCTAGCAGGTTCCCTAATCCAACTATTTTGTTTATTAAATACACATTTTCTTCTCATACGATTTCTTTTGGAATATAGTCCTTATTAGATAGTACATGTACATAATTTGTTATGAAAATAACTTTTTTCAGGAAAAATTTATAATAATATTAGTCATTCGTGAGATATACTGAATTTTGACCAATGAAATAAATAATCAACCAGTCGGGGAAACAATATATCTGCTAAAATATTAAAAAAGGGAAAATAACTAAATTCCAGCACAACAGTTTTGTATTGTGAAATCTGACTCAACAGTGTTAAAAATTGTGGGATAAATTTCATTGAGACAGCAGCCCAGCATAAAAAAGATCTACAAATAAATGTATTATAAAATTTAATAATTTGTGTGTCTTCATTAGATTCAGAATCATCAAGAGGTAACACTGGAATTCCATATTTTCAATTTACACAGTTACTTCCCCTTCATTGAAGTTACCTCCCCTTTATAGCAGCATATTTGAATATACAGTATTTGTGTATAAAAACAATTAAAAAAACTGATTTTATTGATTGATGAGATGTCAATTTATAAAAAAAAAATGAGGCTTTTAGTAGCCATCTTGCTGTAAGGGGAAGTAAATCTTCCATATTGAGGAAGTCATTGTGCAAATTGATATGCAGGAACTGATAATACATCAAAAATATATGAGGCTTGAACTATCTTACACATTTCTCTATTTCTTGAATATGAATTGCATGTTGCATTTCTTCATTTAACACAAAATAGTCTTATCTTTTCTCTCTCTCTTTATATATAACATGCAAATATTTCTGTTTGAAAATATCAATTATCTTATATATAGACTATATTTCGAAAAAGTTCAGGTTTTCTGCAGAATGAGACTTGACTTTATGATACAAATTTTGCTTGGCTTTTTTAACTAAAAACAAATATTTCCTTTTTTTTTCAATGCATATAACATATATATCTAGTCCACAAACTAAGTCTTATCTTTTTCAAAATATTTTCCTTGACTTTTCCTTCAAATATATAAACAGAACAGTAATATTGAAGACATATAATGCTTTGATTTCTTGTGTAGATATTTGAGGACTATTACTTGTATATTTCATAGAAATAGTTCAAATATTGAAAATAAAGATATGTTTTCTGTGACTAGAATTTTCTAGGGCATGTATCATTCTCAAAAGTCATTGCAAAGAAATTTGGATCTTTTCTTTTTAAGTCTTTAAAAAAGTAGCAGGTCTTTAATTACAACTTAAGGGCTCTTGCTAACAGGGTGACCTATATTTCATACAATCACCCTTCTGTGAGTGGGGGAAGGACCTTTTTTTTTGGAATTCAGAATTGAGCAGTTTTTATGAAAGGAATTGGTGAATCTGTGGGAAATCAGGATTTTATTATATCATGATGCCTCACTCACTGAGCGGATACATTATTTTCTCAGGAATTCAGGATTAGCCCCTGAGGCTGCTTTTCTGTATCCATTGTAAAAGGTTTAGAAATAGAAGTTTCAATATAAATATCACACAGCTCTTGTTTGCGGTCAGAAATGATCATGATTCAAACTTATTAAGTTGGCTGAGGAGTAAAGATTATAACCCGGTACATTGTATGTTTATTAAAATTAGTAGATGTTTTATGATTGCTCATTATACAATGATCTACGCATGACCGAAAGGCAATATTTTATACATGTATTAAAAGACTTTACGTTTTTGAATTTTCCTTAGAGTTTGGTATTTTTGTTATTTTACTTTATATCAATAAATTGTCAGATTCCTATAAACTTTTACTCACTTGCCATTTTCTTTTTAGCTACTTCACCTTTGCCATTTGATAATGCAGAAGGTGAAAAAGAATATGTCGGCAGTGTTCCAGTGGCCAGTGTCCGTGGTGACCAGTCTAGTGTGCCACAGTTGCCTCATATTAGTGGGGCAATGCCCCTCACACCTATTGGAGAGGCCAGTCGTGAGGGGACAAGAATGACAATTCCTGTTTCTCTGCCACCTATAGGACAAGATCAGGGTATTGATGGTGAGAAAAAGTCAATTGTCATTTCTTTTAATATATGTTTTTACTGAATTGTCATGTGTTTTCACATTTGTTTCACTGAATTGTCATGTTTTCACATATGCTTCACTGAATTGTCATGTTTTTTCACATGTTTCATTTCATTGTCATGTGTTTTCACATGTTTCATTAAATTTTCATGTGTTTTCACATTTGTTTCAATGAATTGTCATGTGTTTTCACATTTGTTTCAATGAATTGTAATGTGTTTTCACATTTGTTTAATGAATTGTCATGTGTTTTCACATTTGTTTAATGAATTGTCATGTGCTTTCAGATATGTTTCAATGGATTGTCATGTGTTTTCACATGTTTCACTGAATTGTCATGTGTTTTCACATATGTTTTACTGAATTGTCATGTGTTTTCACATATGTTTCACTGAATTGCCATGTGTTTTCACATATGTTTCAATGAATTGTCATGTGTCTTCACATATGTTTCACTGAATTGACAAAGTTTTACTAAACCAAAAAGTTATATGCTGTTTTACTCTCCTTGTATATTAATTTGGTTATGCTACATGTTCGTATGAATTGGTGATGGTATGATTTGTTGTTTAATATATAATAATTCTGTCATATTTTTTGCCTGATTATAAGCTTCATTTTCAATGTTAAGTTTTCTGCTTAATATATAAATAAGGAGATGTGGTATGATTGTCAATGAGACAACTATCCACTAAGTTCAAATGAAGTGGATCTAAGCAATTATAGGCAACTGTACAGTACGGCCTTCAACAACGAGAAAACCCCATACTGTATAGTTGAATATAAAAGGCCCTGACATGAAAAATATGAATCAATTCAATTTAGAAAACTAACAGCCTAATTTATATCAAAACAATTTAGGAAAAACAAATATGACAGACATGAACCAACAATAACCACTGTTTAGTTTGATAAGTTAGTTTGATAGGAACAACTTATGATAGACAAAGATATTTTCTTTAAAGTTGCATTACTTTCACTGCATCTCAGTTTGTCGACCATTTTGAGGTTCACAGCACCCCTAGGTCATGATCCAGCAACTTTGATTTAATAAGCAGTGTTGTTGTCCATCAGATTGTCTTTTTCTGAATATTCTGCCGACAGGCGAGACATATCACTGTGTCAACATTTTATTTGCAAAATTGTTTTGTTTGATTGCTGTCTCTAGCATTTAATCAACATTTTTATTCTTCATTTGATTAAAATGTCTACAACAAAAAATTACTAAGTACCTAAATTTAATATATCAACAAATCTTTAAATCATAAATCATATTGTTTTAGCATTATTAAAAGAATGAAAAATATGACAGAATATAATTATCAGAGCTTTGAATGTTTTCATTTGCAAATGTATATGTAAATTGTTATAATATTTGCCAATATATGCTATGTTTGATGGACTCAATATTATAGAGATATAAATAAGAAATTCCTGCTTCACTATTATTGAAGGAAAATGAGAAGTACTGCCAATATTCAGTGTCCTTTTTGTCAATTTTTTGTAAAAAAATAAGTTACATAACTTTGACATTAAATGTAAGAACTTTTCTGACCTGAAACAAAAGAACAAGATGTACTGTCTTTTTTTCCAAACTATTACTTTGTGTACCCCTTTATAGAAGAATTCAGTGTTTTTATTCTATTTGCCATAAATTTCACACTATAAGTCGAGATAGGGAGGATAGGTTGAAATTTTGATTTTTGGTCAAAATCGTGAAAAAATCTCAAGATAGGTCGAAACATTGATGGAAAAGACATTGGTAAAAAACCTGTATTTAATCTGAGATTATTATTAGGACACAAAACCACATGCAAAACACGAGCTATCATCAATTATATATTTGTATTAGACAATATAATTTATCATGTTTATTAAGGAACAACAAATGTTCTGCTTTTCTTTAATATATTTCAATTTTAATACTGTCAAAAATCTATGTTTAAAAAAAAAAATTGAACCGAATTTTGGAAAAAAATCTTAAACTAGTCGTACTGGGGTATAAGAGTACCCCGTCAACTTTCTGACAAAAATATTGACTTATACTGAGGCATTTACGGTAGTTAAAAAAATCATTTTCCTTTGAATTATAAGATTTGATGCTCAAATTGGACGTCCATCAAACATTGTACACACTTGTAATCATTACCTGTAGTTTGCACTTTGTTTTACCTGTGTTTTACCTGTGTTTTACCTGTAGGTGTACCCCTGTTAACTGTAATACCTCCAACCCCTCAACATTCTAGCTTAACTGCTTCTCCTACTAAGATGGTGAAAGATTCCAAGCTTCTTCCTCAGGATGAAGGCAATGAAGGTTGGTTGGTGATCACATGAATTGTCACATGACTTGTCACATTATTGAGTTACTTCCCTTGTTTGATAGAAGAATTTGAAATGTATATGATTTTATGCACCTATCTTAGTTAGAAGCCACATATTATGGTTTACAGTTGTCCCATGTTCGTCTGTCAACACAAAGTACCAAATGAAGAGAATGCTTTAATCAAGTTTGTATTGACTACTGTAAATTCTGAAATTATTTTGTGCATTTATTTTTTTTACGATATTTGAAGAATTTACAAAAATGCGAAAATTATTTATAAGGATTTCAGAAAATTATTATTATTATTATTAAAATTGTTATTATTCAATACTCAAACAATTGCATTTTTCACAATAATGAAAACCTTGCAATAGTTTCTGAAATGACAGTTTTATTTGATTTTCTGGAAGAAAGCTCCCTTTTGTTTTGAAATTTTTGAATTCAATTGTTATAAATCCGTCAGATTACATCCATTTTTTCACTGATAAAAGAAAGCTCCCTTCCAATCTTGAACTTTTTAACTGTTAAGATTTAAGAGAATTTTTCACATGTTGTACACTAACTTGAGCATGCTTGGACTGATTAACTTGAATCTTGCACATTTGTTGGATTTGATGATCGATGTAAGCTGGGAACAGTATATCTAACAATATATATGTTCCTGATGTAAGCTACCTTTTGATTTTGAAAATTTTTCAATTTATCATATTAGAGTTATGGGACTTTAGACAATTTTTGTCGAGCCTTCGACTTTAGTCGAAAAAGCGAGACATAGCGATCCTACATTCCGTCGGCGTCGTCGTTGTCGTCGGCGGCGTCCACAAATATTCACTCTGTGGTTAAAGTTTTTGAAATTTTAATAACTTTCTTAAACTATCCTGGATTTCTACCAAACTTGGACAGAAGCTTGTTTATGATCATAAGATAGTATCCAGAAGTAAATTTTGTAAAAATAAAATTCCTGTTTTTCCGTATTTTACTTGTAAATGGACTTAGTTTTTCTGCCAGGAAACATTACATTCACTCTGTGGTTAAAGTTTTTAAAATTTTAATAACTTTCTTAAACTATCCTGGATTTGTACCAAACTTGGACAGAAGCTTGTTTATGATCATAAGATAGTATCCAGAAGTAAATTTGTTAAAATTTTTTTTTCATTTTTTCCGTATTTTACTTATAAATGGACTTAGGTTTTCTGCCAGGAAACAATACATTCACTCTGTGGTTAAAGTTTTTAAAATTTTAATAACTTTCTTAAACTATCCTGGATTTGTACCAAACTTGGACAGAAGCTTGTTTATGATCATAAGATAGTATCCAGAAGTAAATTTGTTAAAACAAAAATTTCATTTTTTCCGTATTTTACTTATAAATGGACTTAGTTTTTCTGCCAGGAAACAATACATTCACTCTGTGGTTAAAGTTTTTAAAATTTTAATAACTTTCTTAAACTATCCTGGATTTGTACCAAATTTGGACAGAAGCTTGTTTATGATCAAAAGCTAGTATCTAGAAGGAAACTTTGTTAAAATTTGTACCTGTTTATCTGTATTTTACTTATAAATGGACTTAGTTTTTCTTCCAGTTAACATTAAATACAGTCTGCAGTTAAAGTTTTTAAAACATTTATTAGATTCATAAACTATCCTGGATTTATACCAAACTTTGACAGAAGCTTCTTACAATCAAAAGATAGTATCTAAAGGAATATTTTTATTGATTTTTTTCCTCATTTTTGTTGAGCCTGCGATTAACAGCAAAAGTAGGCGAGACACTGGGTTCCGCGGAACCCTTACGAATTTTTTACACTTCTTGGTCTACTTCTAGTATGCTTAGATCAAATAACTAGAAACTTTATACTTTTTTGGGGATTGATGAATGAAAATTCTCTTTAAATTTTGAAGGATTTGCCTTTCCAAAGTTATAAAAGTGTTCAACAAAGGTTTCCTAAATAGCTGTTGCTTTTTCTCACATCAGAATGTTTAAAGCTGGCCTGAATAATTCAGTCCCTCCCTGTAATCAATCTCTCCTTCTGGTGAGGACCTGAATTTCTTTAACATTAAAAACTCTTCACGAATCCTGGATTTTGATTGGTGCACCGTGGAGAGGTGACCAATGTAGCTTTCGTAAAGCAGCGAAATATAACAATTGAATTATTTGGGTCAGTTTATAGCAAAGTATTTTAAATAGAAATGTATTGTTACAGATTGTTTACAAGGGAAGTAACTCAGGTTTACAGATATAAAACCTAATCAATCCCTTTCAAATATACATAAACTTCTACATGTGATTTGTAGGTTTAAATAATTTCAGCAAAACCTGAACTTTTTTTTTGCCTTTTTGTTTGCATGTAATTATCCTTCAAGTTTCACTTCTATTGTTATGTTAAATTCAGTTTTTTGGTTTTCTTTTAATATAAAATCTACAAGTGAATTTTGATAATTTTTCATTTCATGTTGACATGATAAATACATAAATGGCTTAATTTTTCTGGCAAAGATTGACAATTAAAACGATAATTTGGTATGAAAAATGGAGAACAAAAGCCAAATGAATTTTACATCTATCATATTTACCCCATCAACTATTTCTGTCTTCAATTTTAAAGAACAGCAGTATGATTATTGAATTAGTAAAAAAGGTCCTTAATAAAACTTAAAAGAAATCCAACTTTGGAAAAACAAAAATGTCCATTACAAAAGAGGTAATTATGAATTTGATATTGATGACTTTTTTTTTTTAGAGTTTTCCGATGAGAGTGGTGTCGGTGTGAAGACAGAGAGAACTGACAGGCGTTATGGGGAGGAAACAGAAAGAAAGAGGAGAGTACGGAAAATAAAGGCTGAAAATACAGGTATAATGCAATCAGATTTAAGTACAAGCATTGAAATGAATAATGTATTTAGACTGTTCAACATTTTTCTCATAGACTAGATAAACATATTTTATTGGATAAATATCACGAAAAGGATTAGACACAAGTTAGTTAAACTAAGATCATCTTTTAGGTATGCTCATAGACTAGCATAGTAAGGCCATATGAATTTAATTTATGTTTCTCAAACCCATCTCAATCCTGTTTCAGGTGAATTCATTGCCTATTTTGTCATCAATTAAAAAATCACAAGGAGCTGAAATGTCTAAGGTATCAATTAGCATTTGAAACAGTGCAGAAACTATTTGTTAATAAGGGTTTGGATGCCATCATTAGCAATATTTTCCACCAGAATTTTGTGCAGAAAACAATATGTGACAACTTTATGACAGACATTCTCCATCGTATAATCTGTGATTTTATACAGAGCTAACACCATGAGTTATATACTTCATCTGAAATATAACCAAGCAACACCAACAAAAATGTCCATTTTGATATCCTGTGTTTTTCAAAATACGATTGACGTTGCAATTTTGCTTGTGACTTCACACACGTGCACCCCATGTTCTAATTAAATTATAACATTATTTTGTTAACAATGCAAAAAAAGAGCCTCACATTAGAATATTTCTTTATAAAATCTAATTGTATTTATTTAATCACGTCCTTACAGTGTGTAAGTGTATCTACATCTCATGTTGTTTATTTATTTACATTTTTAATTGTATTTATTTAACCAGGCCCTTCTGTATCTGGAGGTTACCACTTACACAGCAGTACAGAGAGTCTTGGAGGACCAGATAGTGCCCACTCTCTGCCAACAGCCAAGCCACTAAGAACACATTGGAAGGGCAGCACTCAGAGTCTCAAAAGTGATCGATCTAAGAAAGGATGTATGTACTGAAAGGCTGTTATAAGGGGTCATGTCAAGATATGTATTGGAATGATGCTATGAGGGGTCATGTCAAGATATGTATTGAAATGCTGTTATGAGGTTATTTCCTCAAGATATTTTCTGAAATGCTGTTATGAGGTCATTTCAAGATATGTACTGAAATGCTGTTATGAGGTCATTTCAAGATATTTTCTGAAATGCTGTTATGAGGTCATTTCAAGATATGTTCTGAAATGCTGTTATAAGGGGTCATTTCAAGATATGTTCTGAAATGCTGTTATGAGGGGTCATTTCAAGATATGTTCTGAAATGCTGTTATGAGGGGTCATTTCAAGATATTTTCTGAAATTCTGTTATAAGGGGTCATTTCAAGATATGTTCTGAAATGCTGTTATGAGGGGTCATTTCAAGATATGTTCTGAAATGCTGTTATAAGAGGTCATTTCAAGATATGTACTAAAATTATGTTATAAAAGGTTCTCTTGAAGATAGTATATAAGTAAGAATTTTGTATACAGAGGACTCCAGGGGATATAGATATATTTGTTAAGTGTCATCAATTTATTTCAGTTTCTATGGCTAAGCAGTGTAACCAACTTCAATCAAATAGCACTGTTCATGTAATATTATAGCACCACATTTATAATGCATTTTATTATTAAAATCTATTCAGATAGCACCATGGTAAAAAAACAAAGCTAGGTACCATGATTCTATAAGGCCATAGAGAGAATCTAAGCTAAGGCAAAACAAAGAGATCCTAACTAAATTTCAGTGATGAATTATGCAGCGTTACAACATATTAAATTTTTTTAGAAAACAAAGCCTAGGTGTTAGTATAGAAAATTTTATTTGGTTGCTTAATGAAGGACTTTGAACATGTTTATTATCATCAAGGTAGCAAATCGAAATCACTCTCAAATTACGTCAATTGAAATCTATCTTTTATTCCTTATATATGTGGTGTCGGGTCAAATTGTGCTTTGTCGACTCTCACTGCATTTTAATTGACCCAATGTTGCAGATGAAATCACTGAAAAGAAGAAACAAAAATTGTCTAAAAAGGTGGAAGGTAAGAAAACTGAAACAACAGTTATTAAAACACCTAAAGAACTTCCTGCAAAAAATATACCTGAACCCAATGACCTGACCGAATGTCTTGTTACCTTGGCAATTAATAAATCATTGAAAGATGTAGAGGAAGATGATGCCATGACGAGGAAGGAAATATCAACAAAAGATGAAATTCAAGATTATAAAGTTGAAACAAAGTATAAAGTTCAGGAGTTTGGTAGAACTGAAAAACTGACCAAAAATAATGAGACAAAAGAAAAGGACAATTATCAGAGGGGCAAGTACATTGATTCTGCCATAGAGGGCATCGAAAGGTCAAGAAGTTTTGTAGAAATGTCAGCTGAAAAAAATGAGTTCATGAGGATTCTTCCTCCTCTACCAAATTACCTTCTTGATAGAAAAAGACGAGCTTCAAGTTTCAGGTTGGATTTAGTAGATAGAAAAAGGCGCTTATCTGTTTTGATAGAAGAACCTATTGAAAATTCAGAGAGACTTAAAACTGATGGGTATGCAACTGACAAAAAACTAAAATTGCTCCAAACATTAAATAGGGGTTTATTTGGGATAGATGATCCTTACAAGGATTTTGAAAGAAACAGTATAAAACGGTCTAAGGGCTCCGATCCTGACAAAAAGACAAAGTCTGTACGTTTCAGACTAGATTCAGATGAAGGAAGAAAACTGAAGACAGAGGGAAATATCTCAGAGAGGACTTTGACAAATGAAAAATTAAAGGCTTTGAAGGAAACTTCAAAATCATTATCATCAGTGAAACAAAGAAATACAGATCTTAGTAAAGACCGTCTGCTCTCATTGAGTCTTAGTTCATTTAGTACAAAAGAATGGACAACTTTGACCTCTGAGTCATTAAAAAGGCGAGATTATACTGTCAGAGTTGGAGAAGACAGTAATATTAAAACTGAACCGTTAAAAAGAACCGAAAATGTTAAAATGAGCACCTTTTCAAAAACAAAAACTGAAAATGAGGAATATGAATGTATGAGAAAGGGGGGTGTTGTGAAAGATGGATTTATGAAAGCAACATCAGAAGAACTGGAATTCGAAGACATCTTTCCTGAAGAACGTGTAGAATTTGATGAAGAAATTGAGCTGTTAAATTTTCTTCATGATACCTCTAGACCAAAATTAGATGCTGAACATTATTTCAACAGCTCTGCAGAAGAAAGTGATGATTTGAGTTATGTCAACAGGAAAGAGGATGTAAATAAACATTGGCTTGCTTTATCAACAGACCACAAAGACGAAGATGATGATGATAATGATGACGATGATAATGATGATGATGATGAGGTCATTGACAAGGTCGCTGAATATCAGAAACTTGATGCAAAATCACTAAAAGAAATAGAGAGAAGGATACTTTTACAAGACAGAATGAAACAAAGAAAAGAACAAGAAAGAAATAAAGAAGAACGACAAGATGAGAATTCTACGGAAGATGGCAGTACAGATAAGAGTGATAATATGTCTGAAGTTTCAAGCCTAGATACTGTGGAAAAGAAAGCAGGGATACTCAAGAAAAGTTCTGCTAGTTCAAGAACCAGTAAAATTTAAATAATTTTATGTAGAATGGTGGATGGATATATTTTGTTACTGGATAGAGGACAGGATAAATTTGGAATTTTATGTAGAATGGTGGAAGGATATATTTTGGTACTGGATAGAGGACGGAATAAAATTTAGATAATTTTATGTAGAATGGTGGATGGATATATTTTGGTACTGGATAGAGGACAGGATAAATTTTAATTTCATGTAGAATGGTGGATGTATATACATTTTGGTACTGGATAGAGTACGGAATAAAATTTTGGGATTTTATGTAGAATGGTGGATGGATATATTTTGGTACTGGATAGAGTGCAGGATAAATTTGGGAATTTTATGTAGAATGCTGGATAGAGGACAGGATAAATTTGGAGAGTTGTTTTTTTATGTTTCTTACATGTAGATGACTTATGGATTTTTGTGTAGTGGGCTATCTCATTATAATATGTATACCCCACATCTATCTAATAATATGAATAGAAAAGAAATCTGTTTAATATTTTTTTTATATATTTTCTTTTATTTAGGTTTTGAATCATTCCTATATATTCCCATTTTTTTTATCATTATTTTTTTTTAATTTCAGTATGTGGTTTGCTTAAATATATATATGCACTAAGAAGTCAGTGAAAAAAAAGATTTTTATTTATTTTAAATTATCAGTGGATAACATCAAGATTGATTCAGTTATGGTTTAATTAAGATTTCAAAGTGTTGAAATATTAAGTATTATTAAGGAAATTGAAAAAAGGTGTGTGTTTTGGGGTTTTCCCCGATTTACCCTAATTTTGTGCGATGACCACAACGTCAAAATGGAATTAATGAAAATACTTTTTTAAATGTTGCAAAGGGTAGATCTTCCTGCAAAATGGTATGTATAATACATTATCGCTATTTTGTGTATTTTTCCTTTGATCTGTTTTTGTGAGCATTTTTCATATCACGCTACTCGCTTGAGATAGAAAATTATCGTCAGAAACAAAGGGCCCATGTGATGTCAATGTAAACTTCAACGACGTAATAGGCAAAATAGCGATAAACTGATTATCAATGGTCTTTCAAACATGACGATATTTCACGGCCACATCTAATCTCAGGACTGTCGCCCTTCTATGAAATAGTAGCTGAGAAACACCCTCTCATTTGAAAAACCATTAATAATCTTTAAGAACCAGACTCTTTGAAAACAGGACATATTCTGGATAATGATTAGAAAAAATTGCGACATACTGACCAATAAATGTTCAGGAAGGAAGCCATAAACACACATTTTTTTGCTTTAATGTTTGGAGCTCTTTTAAAGAGATAGAATTATAAACATGGTGAGATAATATTTTTTATTAGTCTAAAAAATTATTGTAATTTCAATTCAAGATTATGAAGTATATTTTTTCACTGATTTTCACCTATTGCTTATTTTATTTTGCTAAGACACGCAAATAATTTTATATGCACTGGTTAGTTGTTTTTTTTATGTTTAGTTTATTTTTTCCATTTTGTTTAGCGAGTAGTTTACCCGAGGACAGTAATAAAGGTAGCATAGTGATTGGTCCAGACGGGGAGCCCATTAGTGTGGGCGGGCATATTGAAGCCCACACTCGCCCAGAACAACAACATATTGAAAATGTTGGCGATGCTAATCGTTACTTTGGTAGAGGTAAGAAAAGGAAAATATTTACACAGTGTTTGAAAATACCCTTGAAAATTTAATATCTGATAAGTGTTTCTCAATAATTGATTGTCGATTGGTTTATCAAGTCTGTTTTATAAAATTTCAGAAATAGTTGACCCTTTCAATAGTAAGTAAGAATAAAAAAAAGTTTTTAAGTATGAAAAATGTATAAAGTTTTAAATTTTATTTATACGAATACCATTGAAAATTTATTATCTGATAATTGTTGCTCAGTTATTTTTTATTGATAAATAGTTTATTAAGCCATTTTATAAAGTATTAAAAATTATTGTCCTTTTTAATAGTAACTAAAAAGACAATTTATAAAAAAAAAAAATATTGAAAATTTATTATCTGGTAATTGTTTCTCCGTTATTTGTCATTGACAGATAGTTAATTGAACCATTTTTATAAAGAATTAAAAGTAATTTTCCTTTTCAATAAGTGAAAGTGACCAGTAGTTGTTTGAAATTTTAAAAGAGAAAATGTTAAAATTGATAGATTTCTTTCTTAATTTAAACTTGACATGCAAATATTTATGAACTGGGAGTTGGTTTCACACAAAAAAACTTACAACTAAGATTAATCGTAAGTATACTGAATTGTTCAGGACTTACGATCAACTTTTAAGATTTTTTGTGAAACTGACTCTTGCAACTAATTTTAAGAAAATTCATAAGATAAAAAATACTTGTAAGTCATTAACATTTCAGTATAAATAATTGATTTTTTGTCTTAAGATTTTTACTGAAAAGAGCCACAAGATGTCTTTCTAACTTTGAAGCAAATGTTAGAATAAGAAAGTTTTGATTGTTTTAAAAAAAAGATCTGAAATTGATTTGAAAACTAATATTCTTGACCTATGTAAATAAATACGGCAAATTCTGACATTATTGCAAGCATTTATCATCAGGGGTGGATTCAGGCAGGGGCATGGTGGGGTGCGCCCCCCCCCCTCCCCCCCCCCTAAAATTTGCAAAGCATGGGTTGTCCTCAGCTTAATAAAGAATATTTCCATAATTTTACATCAAAAAAATTTCGCCTCGCTCTGCTCGACGAAAATTTCAGGCATTAAAAGTATCTGGGCTTTTTCAGGTTCTAGTTTGTCAGACATATTAATTGATAAATACAAATCAGGTAAAAAATAAAAAAAATATAGGGTCAGGATTTTCGAAAGATTTTACATGGTAGTGAATACACACACTTTTATATAACCACATGTGCCCGGTAGAACTTAATTACACACATATACTATCTAAGGAAAAGATGAAAAAATAAAATATGAATAGATTAGATCTGATGGAATAAAATAATTAAAATATTAAAATGAGGAATCTTGGGATAGCTGAATATTTGAATTTATTTGGTTTAAAATGTAGGTAATGCAATCGATAAAAAAATTTTACTTAAAGAAAGAATGTAGTTTCTGTAAAAAATTATGAGATTTGGTTACCATATGGTCCTAAATATGAATTTTTTTATTATTTGTGCAAATGTCACAAAATATATCACAAGGTCCATTAAAGAGCAACATTTCCGCAGCTAATTCTCATTGAATGAATTCAAATCAATAAATCTGCTTAATCTTGATAATTTTTTTAATTTTGTTAAGTTGATTCAAGCTGGTTAAATACAAATTAAGCTAATTCAAAACACTTAAAATTTAGTTAAATTCAAAGCATTCAATTTGATTGTAACTGACTAAATTTGATAGAGACAGATTGGGCATTCATAAAAATAAAAACATTACCGGTAACTTATTTAGCTTTTCTATTTTGAGGTCCTTAGCTTACATTAAAAAATTTCACATTTTTCAACAAAAATTTAAAATTTTTATTTCTGAATGACAAATTTAAACCAAAATGAACCCCCCTCTAGCAATGATTATCTGATATAGATTGGACATATTTTAAACTATTTTCTCAAAACATTAAAATTAATTCAAAACCCTTTATTATATTTTTGATAAATTATAAGTTAAAAAATCTACTCTAGAAACAGAAAGTAAAATCAAAGAGGAAGAATCAGAAGTTCAGATAAGTGTCCATGAGACCCCTGTCTCAGAACAAGGTATTGGATATATAAATCCCCATGTCTCTCTCCCTGTTTCTACTGGACTCTGTTTTTCTCCTCTTTTTATATTCATAAAAAGGCATGGGATATTTTAATCCCATGTCTCTCTCCGTCTCTACTGGACTTTTTGTTTTTCACCTATTCCATTTGATGCAGGGAGACTGGAAACTTCACCCTTGTTCTTTCCTTGAATATTTCTTTTGCTGATCCCCATATTTTACCTGTTTTGCATAATTATAACATATGTTTTCCACCTTTTTAAATCTTTATTAATTTTTTTATTTTATCCTATTTATATTCATGTTTTTTCCCATCACACCAAATCCCTACTTGACCTTTTTTGCTGTTTCAGGGTGGTATATATTTGAATGGCATGTGCATGTATTTTCCACATGACATAGATTTTCTTCACGTACTATGTAGTGTATTGATTTGGTTTGAGAATATATTTTTTTGGTGGTGGATTATAGTCTATGTATTATCTGTTTTATTTGTCTCTATTTTGAAGTTTGTATTTTCTTGGTAAAGGATGAATATATATCTGAAAAACATTCCATAAAATTTTTTATGACTATGGTATTAGATTGATACATAGATATTCTCTATAGTTAACAGAGAAAGTACAATATAAATAGAGAATATTATATGGCTTTTTCAATATCACATCCGTTTCAACCTGAGACACCAGTATTATTTTGATTGAGGGTTGATACAGTGTGTGATATTGAAAAAGCCATATCATATACACTTTATTATATATCTCAAGTAGATGTTTTTTCATGTGGTGTGACGTCATACAGATTAGGGGTTTGATAAAGCCTTTGCAACGGTGACTGATGTCAATGACGTGACGTGACATATACAGATTAGGGGTTTGATAAAGCCTTTGCAACGGTGACTGATGTCAATGACGTGACATGACATACAGATTAGGGGTTTGATAAAGCCTTTGCAACGGTGACTGATGTCAATGACGTGATGTCATACAGATTAAGGGTTTGATAAAGCCTTTGCAACGGTGATTGATATCGATGACATGACGTTATACAGATTAAGGGTGTGATAAAGCCTTTGCAACTGTGACTGATATCAATATCATCACGGACGGCTGATACAGTACGATTGCCACATTGATCGTATTACACATATAATTTAGATGTATTTACTACTAAGTATATAATAAATACAAATACAATAGTTGAGGATAAACACATGCAGTACGATGATGTAAACTGAAGTACAACTTTATGATGACATACATGTATAATAAACCTTTTAAGGATGTATTTACGTAAGGTTTAGGAATTTGTGGCAGATGTTTGGACTCCTTGGTTTTTTTCCTTCAATACAGGGCAAAATATTTTGCCCCATAACACTCATTTTTCTTTTCATATAATACTTCAATAGCTCATAAAAGGTCATTTACCAAAATTTAAGCAGATTCTAGATTTCTTTTCTTTCTATTTGAGACGCAAATAATACCAATGCAAATATAAGGTAAAAGTCTGAGTCAGTCTTTTCCCGCCATTTTTTAAAATGCCAAATATCGCGAAAAAGGAGCTTCATAACCTATCAATATTTTTAGCTTATTTTGTTCCTCAACTAATGCTCTTCTGACTTAAAGTATCAATTTTAAATTCTAGATTTTCTTAATTTCACCTAAGTACATCCTTTAACTAAATATGATAATATGTGTATATAAGAGTTATATATTTTTTGTTTTCATTCCAGGAGTCGCTATAGTCATCATTAACCCACTTCATGGGAGACAACTTCACAGGATTTACACAAAGCTTGAAAATTACTTGAGCTAAATATCTGTTTTAATCTTCAGTTGTCTTCCCTAAATGGGGATAATAATTTTTATTTGTTACTTGTAGTCATGTAATTTGTAAAAAAAAATGAAAGATAGTATAAATTCTCTGATTTTATATAAAGTTCTTCATGGAATAATAAATAAAAAACGTTTTACAGATTTGATAAGTGACCAGGAATCTGATGACGAACCAGACGTTTGGAAGAGGAGACGAGGCGTCCAAAGGGAGGACATGAGAAATTATGCACATAAAAGAGGTATGCACAAATATTACAATTGTATTTATAATTTCAGCTCAGTTCATTTAGTGCATATGAACTTGATATTGAGAAGTAATATAAAATTTAAGTAAAAAACAAAGAATGATCTACTCTGAATAAAACTTAATGAAAACACTTTGTTAAAAAAGATTTGTTTCCATTATACAGATTTTTTATATTAGACTAGATTTAAATAAGTGTGGATCCAAGGTCTTTTCTTGAAAGGACCTTTTGATTTTTTAATCAAAAAAAGGTCCAAGAGCTCTCTTTCTTTACATTGATGCTTTATAAAGGACCTATGATATACTTAAGGAAAACTATTTTTTTTAAATTCAAATAGTCCTGAATTTTATTTTTTTTTTTTAAATTTCATTTTTTGTACTTTTACAAGATCTGTGTATAAGTATTTGTTAACTGTAAAGTACTTATAATAAAAAGAAAATGATCAGATTTGCAATTTATTCTTTGTTATTTTGATAAAAATCTTTTTGTAATCACATTGAATTATTTCTTTTTTTTTTTCCTTGACAGAAGAGCAAGGTTTAAAATCATTATACAAATACTTGTATATAACATTTATGCTGTTGAATTGCATTTGTTTCTGCTATATCTTTACTCTTACTGGAAATTTATTTTTATGAAGAAAAAAGACCTATACCGCCTAGAAGACCAATAGTTCAGCGGCAGCCTAGTCTAAAATCAAAATCTAATTCTTTATCATCATTTAATAAAACCGTACGATTTTCTGCCTCGTCTAAGGACAAAGATGAGGGCTTTGAAGGTTTGTTCCTTGCTGGGTGTGGGGCTGTGTTTAGTAATCATTTGTAAACTGCTCGTTGTTGTTGTCCAGTGATTAATTTTGTAGGGCTTGTCTCGTTTTATGTACCAAAAAGCTAATTATTAATGTATGTATTGTGTGATATTTGCTCGGTGTAGGGCATGTCAAATCATTATTTGTTAACTGCTCTTATTTTTGTCCCGTGACTTTGTGTAGGGCTTGTCTGTGTTGCTTACCATGTAAAATGTGTTTTATTTATTATGAGTGATAAATATATCTGTGTGTTGCATTGATTTTGCATTAATTTTGAGAGACAGTTCCAAATCTTGTACATTTGCTTATTTTTTAACAATTTTTTGTTTGAATTTAGCTTTGAATTGCAAATGAGTAGACATCGCCCTTGTTTAAAATATCAGCTTGCCCACTTTGCCTAAGCTAGATAAATTTGCTACTTTCTGTTTACCAAATTTTTTTATAAATTCTAATTAAAGGCAGGCTAGACTAAACTACTATTTTTTATAGAGTTTTGTACCCTTTCACAACAATGTTTCTAAACAAATGCTGATTGCTGTGGATATTTAGCCATTGCCAGCTTGCAGTTTTTTTGCAAAGCAATTATTTCTGTATATATATATATATATATATATATATATATATATATATATATATCATTTAAATCTAATTCTTAAAATAGTTCATCCTAGATTTTTTTATGTGAATTCAATTTTGACAGCTTCTTTTCATGCAATTTTGAATCTATTTGAACATTGTAAGGATAAGATAAAAAGAAATCAAACATCAGCAAGTGTGTATAATGAAAGACTAATTAAGAAATCACATTTTCTGTCAGATTTCTGGCAAGTCTGAAAGATTCGAAATTAGACACATAATGTTTTAGATTTCTGGGTCGTTCAATATTGATGTTGTTAATCTTAGGATTAGTTAATAAAAAAAAGAAATACACTATACAGAAAGAGAATATCAACCAATAAATTTCTAAAGACAAAATCATATTTAAAACTTTGTATATGTTAAATTCTCATTTGTTTTACATTTATATTTAAGTGGCAAATTATTGACTGATTCCCTTTCTGAATACTTAGAAATAGACTATACATGTGGTGATAATATTTCAGTTGCTTAAATTTTTAAATGATTCCCTTTCTGAATATTTAGAAATAGACTATACAGGTGGCGATATCGATGCCACTCTGTCTATAAACTCATGGAGTTACCAACCCAGAGACACAGATCCAGAATTTGTTGGTATTGTAAGCCAAATGAACAGAGCTAGCAGTTTACCAGGAATGCCTTTTCGTTCAGGTAGCCAAGACTGAAGGCAGTGTTACCTCCCTTGGATTGGCTTCACTGACTTATCCCCCTTTCACTGTTTGGTCGTGTATGAGTGCCACCTATATATCAAACAAACAATGGAATCAGGCTTAACAGAGTGCTATCTCCCTTTGATTGACTTCACTGAGTTATCCCCCTTTTCCACTATTTTCACAGTATATGATTGGATAAATATTAACCAATTGAATGAAGTTTAACACAGAGTGTAATCCCCCTTTCACTCTTTGCCAGTATATGATTGGCAGAATCCTCTAACCACAGGAATGGATGGGGCTTTACAATGTGTTTTTCTTCCCATGTAATAGTGTTGTTTGAGTAATTCCCCTTGAAAAATGGGTTTCTTCTGTTTTATATACAGTAGTTTCATCCTCATTAATGTATAATTGCTGCAGAAGCTAGATTCCAAATGTAAGCTTTGATCTGCTACCTAAACAACAAACTGAAGGGAGAATTCATATTTAGAAGTTCTCAGACATATTGAAATGTCAGTTAGAATGTTGTTCAAAAGAACATTTATTTTAATGAGAGTAAAATTAAGATGATTTAGTTAATTCAATCTGTAGGATAATCCCTTATCAAGGAAAAACTACTGTATATATTTCTTAGTAATGATTGTGTGTTACTCTGTGTAAGTTTGAAAGGTCAAGGTCACTTTTAAAAGAACTGATTAATCATTTTTAATACCATTTTAGTTTTTAGATAATAACTTTGATCTGTACATAGATGTCAACTCTCAACATTTTGGTGGCAGCTAATATAATAGAAGTCTCCCTGTGAAGATCAAATTCCCTACTTCACCATTTTTTTACTATAGATATTTTTTTTCTAATATTTTTTCCAAATTATTTTCAAACAATTTGTTTTTGTTCATAATGTAGAGTAACAGGGTTATATAGTACTAACCCGAATTATTCAATCCTTATATTCCGCTGCTCTAGGTTGGTTACATGCACGCCTGAAGGTCTAGTCAATAAAAATCTTCAAATAATCATTTGGAATTAGCTCGGGATTTACATATCTTGATAACATTTAATTATTAGCTGATTGGCTCTCTTTCACAGAGCACCACTCAAAATCCTGGATTTGTGATGCGTTTTTGTCATAGAAAGAGTTCAGGCCCTTGTGAGTGGGAGAGTCGATCACGGGAAGGGACTGAATTATTATTTGGGTTAATATAGTACATGATGTTGTAGCTTATTTATTCCTCATTAACAGTTGAATCTGTTGGAAACTTATTATAAAAATAATTTGACTTGAATAATTTTATTGGAAATAGTAAGAAGACAATGAGATAGGAAACCACATAAAAATGAAAATGTAAGACAAATCTCTCTCTCAAAATTTGTCTTCCTTTAAAGTTCACTCCCGTTGGAGGTTAGAAAAGTTGACATTTATGCATGAACTAGTGACCTTCAGACCTTGACCTGTATTGAGTTATATCCTTGTTTGAACTTTCCCTTTTTAACATATTTGTTATATAGATAATATTAAAGTATATCTATATATGTTCACTTATTTGCATGGCTATATTAATTGATGATGAATTAACTTGTTGTTTGTAATTTGAAATCTATCAAAAAGATACGGTCATGTGTCATGACTATCTCAATACAGTGGTAAATTTGTTTACATTTTAAACATGAAACAAAGAGTATATTTCAGCTGCGGAAAATTGATTGAAAAATATTATCATGATTTTTGATAAATTTTGTATTTTTAAATGTTAATTGGGTTTCAGGCAGAAAAAAAAAAATGTATTTGACTTAAATAAAGGAGTGGATAAAAATGTTTTTATCTGTGTCAAATTGAGGTATTTTGTCCTAAATGTCAGAAAATTTTCAGGAATTGAGCAGATACAACAAGTTATTTTTCAGAAACTGGGGCCATTTCAAATTCAATTTTAACCAATTGACGAGAGCCTTAGAGGCCTTTCAAGAAAACTGCAACCAACTGACCTATGCATGGGCAGACCTTAATTTTGAACTCTAGTAATGTCTGATGAATACTGTGAAATTAGTATTTGTAAATTTGTTTTAAAACTTCTATCGTAAAAGTAATGCATCTGAATTGTAAGAGCTAATAATCAATTAAGGGTTGATTAAAAACAGAATGTTTAATATATATGATTACCATTGGTTATGTATTTAATGACATTTTAGATGAAAACACAAAAGAATTTACACAGCTACTAAGCAGAGCCACTGAAAAAACAGAAGAAGGCATGGAGTATCCAGGAGAAATGAGTCCTGATAAATCAGTAGACATTTCTCACGTCTCAGTACCAGTAGCTAAACCAGGGACTGCCCCTACTGATGGGCATATCACTCCAGGAACTCCGATAAACACTGAGGACAATCAAGGTTTGGTTTCCAGATTGTCCCGTCATGAAGAAGAGGTTTTTGATGATGGATCAGCAGAACGGCAAATGTCCCGAGAAAGTGACGGGAGACGGAGTATCAGTCGTAGTAAACTTTCTGATAAGAGGAAAAGTATGTCACAGTCAGAAATGAAGTCTGATATTAAGATTGGTATTAGTGATCAAGGGAGACGATCCAGTATGTCAGATGCTGAACGTAAAGCTAGTACGTTGTCCAAGCGAGAAGGAAGAGCTTCCAAGGTCTCTATTCATAGCTATTCCCGAACATCCAGTCGTCATGATCCAGAGACCCCAATTGCAGACCCCTTGCTGGAGACTGAGCAAGAACATGGACTAGATACTCCAAGAGAAGACCAAGAAGGTGAAAGGGAGACCAATTCTTTGGAAAAATCCAATAGTCATAAATCTTTACATGAAGGGGCAGTAACTCCACCTCTCGAAGAGGAAAAGGAACCTGATACTGATGGAAAAGAATCAGATAAACAGAGCAGGAAAAAATCTCAATCATCATTGGGAACTGTTGCCCCTTCAAGACCAGGTAGTCAAAAACAAATAGTTATCCCATCTGGATCTGAATCAACTCCTTCCCCAACCAATGAAAAACCTTCCTCTCCTGCACTTCCTTCAGATTACAAGGTAGGCTCCGCCTCCTCCAAGATTGAAGATGAATCAGGGCCTACTGAGGAAGCAGATCATGCTGAATCGGGGCCTGGTGAAGATGTGGCTCATGCAGAATCAGGGCCTTCTGAGAAACTTAATAGAGAAGGTAGTAAATGTGTGGTTCACACTCACAGCACATTGAATGGTACACAGTGATAAACATTCACACTTTGTGGCACAAATAGTTCAAAATTTAGGTCATTAGTTTAGACAATGTATAATTTATATTTTACATTAAACAAATAATAAGTAATTTATACTATTAAGAAATATAAAAAGTAGATAGTCTCAATTTAAAAAAATATCAGAATAACATCATATAACTTTTTACTTATCTTTTATGCCGAAAAAAGATAAATATAGCAAACAATGTGACAAGAAAAAAATAAATGGATGGTTTCAGGAATTGATAGCTGTACACCAACTTATTTTTGCGGATTCTTTATTTATAGTGCTCAGTCTTTTCTAAACGATTTCACAGCGATATTTTGGTCATTTCCTTATTTTCTTAGATGTATTTATATCAGGGAAGGCCCAAGTTTACATATTTGGGACAATTTATATTCACATCATTTTCAATAGTCCTTACCGCTATTTGGAAATCTGTGCCGCTTGACCCGAGAATCTACTCCTCTCAAACTTTTGACGTCATACAACAATCACTTTTCCATTGTGGCGTCAGATATTTTCTATTGTGACGTCAAAACTTTACCGGAACCTTTGTGATGTCCAGTAATGGCAGACAAATAGCAATGAGGTGTATTGATCATGAAAATAAGTTGGTTTACACTATTGTTATTTTCATTTTCAATAAGGAAAGGAGATGTGATTTTAATTTAAATGATGCATGAACCAAACACTACAAGAAAACCAGGCTATGGTCTATTCAAGAATGAAGACACTATTCACAAGTGCTGTGTAGCGTGCAATGCCATTCTACCAATACACCTTTTCTTCACCAAGTTTCTGTTCTCTTTTTGAATGAATCCACTCATTTTCACATGGTTAATAGCTGACATTTCTGTGATTGACGTCTTTGTTATCTCCCTCGGAATGGCTTCACTGAGTTATTCCCCCTTTTCACATAGTTAATTGATTGTTTACCTTGTTATCTCCCTTGGAATGGCTTCCCTTGAGTTACTCCCCCTTCACAGTATTTGTTTCAGGATAGTATCACAATTGGGATTTGACTAACAGCGCACTGCCAAGCAATGTTTACTGCTGTGTTTTTTCTTTTGATTGTTAATATATTGTTATTTATTCACACATTTTTTTCACCATGTATGTGTGTAATATTTATTCACATTATAATCAAAACAGTTGTGTATTTGTGAAAACATTTGTTACAGATTATATTGTTATATTTCATACACAATGATAATTTATGTGCGTCTAGGAGAAAAAAATAAAAGAATTTTAGTTCTCATTTCTATTAGGCAATTACAGTATTTTCCTGCTATTTCAATATTGCTCTAGTGATCCGTAGTACTCAAATAAGATAAGATTATGATAAGTATTTTCACCTTTAGTTACCATGTAAGGGAGTAAAAGAGTAATATTTAGCAAATAAAGGAAAAGTGATTGAGTTCTGTTCAGTCTACAAATGGTGTAAAATAAAGTTCTAACTTTTCTAATCTATTTGACTATATATATAAGTTAGCAGCATTATGTTCTGGTCCTAAATATGTATTTAATTTGCTACTGGACGTTAAACAGTGATCATCTATCCATCCATCAAATGTTACATGAAAGACAATTTTCAAAATCTAATGGAGTAATTGATAAGTATAAAAATCAAAATTTAAAGTATGAAAAAGTTTCAATTTGGGATCTTCAACTCTGAAGAGCCTTAAAAGGAAACTTAAAAATTTATTTTGTTTATGCGTTTTGGTTATATGCAATTAAATTATGCATTCAAGTTATGCTGACTTTGTATATGTTTTATTATGAATGCATCACAGTATCATCTTGGTCTTTTGTTTTTGTTTTTATTACTTTTTCAGTGTTTAAACATGATTTTCAAAATGCAAGTAGTATATGGATATTAGGCAATTAAGCAACAATGAATAAATGGAAGAAGAATATGAATTAAAATTTTAGATATTTATTTTCTTACCATTGTTTCGTACTAAATGGTTCTGGCATGCATTTCATTCTGTTACAGACTTTTTTTGTAATATTTCTATCCATGATTTATTTACATCTTAAAATGCATCCTGGATGATAAATCTGCATGTAGTATTTTTTCTTTAACTTATTTTTTCTTTATTTGCTTCTTTTGTCTGCAATATCCATTCGGGTAATTTAAGTTTTCTTGAAACTAGTAAATTACATATTAGTTATTCAATAAGAAGTTATAAAATAAAATGTATACAGAAATCAGGTAAAATCTGTCGAGAGCTGTTTCACTTCACGATTCCTATTTTGGCATCAAAACAATTTCTTTTTTTTCTTTCTACTTTTATGTAGCCTCTTGCAAGAAACAGGTTTCCAGATGAATAATTTTAGTCTTTTACAAAGCCTTTTTGATGTAGATGTCTTACTGGATTAATTGTTTTCAAACTTGAAATAATTTAGAAATTTTAAACTATTTTTAGGATCAGGCCAATCGTTACAATCACAACAGATCTCAGAGAAAGATATTATTAATGTGTTGGAGGATACAGCCAGACATATCGCTGCATCCACACTTAGTAGAAGTGACAGTGGCCAGGATCTGGAAAAAGATGCTAGAGTGAGTTATCTCCCCAATAAGTTTTCTCCTCACATTTATGTTTTCATTACCATCAGAGGTGTTTCCAAAAATGAGGACAAAAACCGCTATGGTGGTTTTAAAAATTGACACCTAGGGTTTCTGCTTAAAATAATTTAACAACTTATAGCGTTACTTTGAAAGGTTAATTGTTATTTACTATTGAAATATTGCCAATCTGATTAAAAATACAGATCCTGTATCCAAGTTTTACATACAAGGACCTAAAAATACTCCATTCTACTTTCTGTTCTGGTGATAATTACATCAGCCAATGAAATTTTAGCCTTCAAATTTTTGAAAATGTGTAGTATTAATCCAACAAAACCAGAGGATCCTGAAAGGTCTTTAAACAGAATGTAGAACAGAGGGTTGTCAGATCCTGGTAAGCAAAACTTGGACACAGGATCTTTATTTTAATCATATTGAAATAATGCATGCTTTGCAGGAATATGTCAATAAAATTATCTAACAAACAAGCTCAGTGTCTCAGCGGCTTTAGCTATTATAATAGATGTGATTTGATTAAACTAATAAATGTGACTTTTAATGCTGACCTTTTGGTTATTTTCAAATGTTTTAAACTGTCTAAACTTAATTCATGAATATTAATTTTGTTTATAATTTCATGTGTTAACTGATCTGCTGTTTTTCAGTGTGTGTGTTTTATATAATGACTGCTGTGTCATTTTAAATTGTATGAAATTGAATGTTTTGCTTTGCGTTGATTTATTTTGCTTATGATACTAATATATCAACATTTTATAGCAAGCGGCTGAGTTATGGTTAGAAAAGAATGCCCCTCGTATCATTTCCAGAAGCCAATCAGTTCAAGATACACAAGGAGATCAAGTAAGAGATTAACCCTCATCAACCTTGACCTTTTGAACTTACAAGGAGTATCACACAATGATTACATTTCACTTACTTAATACATTCACCCCAATAATGCCTGAATGCCAAGTCAATGGAAAATCGTCAATCAATCATTCTGAATAAGCTCAAGATTTACCTATCTTGATAAAATCTAGCTGCTAGCTGATTAGCTCTCTTTCTCTATTATGGGGACTCTGGGCCTGAATTATTCTGGTTAATAAGAAACAGAAAATATTTATTATATTTGTAAATGATATATATAATAAACTTTGTAAGGGTTCCGCAGTACCCAGTGTCTCGCCTACTTTTGCTGTTAGTCGCAGGATCAACAAAAATGGGGAAAAAATTATCTAAAATTTTCCTCTAGATACTATCTTTTGATTGTAAGAAGCTTCTGTCCAAGTTTGGTAAAAATCCAGGATGTTTTATGAATCTAATAAATGTTTTAAAAACTTTAACTGCAGATTGTATGTAATGTTAACTGGAAGAAAACTAAGTCCATTTATGAGTAATATACGGAAAAACAGGAAATAAATGTTTAAAAAATTTCCTTCTAGGTACTAGCTTTTGATCATAAACAAGCTTCTGTCAAAGTTTGGTACAAATCCAAGATAGTTTAAAAAAGGTTATTAAAATTTTTAAAACTTTAACCACAGAGTAATTGTTATGTTAACTGGCAGAAAAACTAAGTCCATTTATAAGTAAAAGAGGGATAAACAGGATTTTTTTTTTACAAAATTTACTTCTGGATACTATCTTATGATCATAAACAAGCTTCTGTCCAAGTTTGGTACAAGTCCAGGATAGTTTAAGAAAGTTATTAAAAATTCAAAAACTTTAACCACAAAGTGAATGTAATGTTAACTGGAAGAATAACTAAATCCATTTATAAGTAAAATATGTAAAAGCAGGAAATAAATTTTTACAAAATTTCCTTCTAGATACTAGCTTTTTATCATAAACAAGCTTCTGTCCAAGTTTGGTACAAATCCAGGATAGTTTAAGAAAGTTATTAAAAATTAAAAAACTTTAACCACAGAGTGAATATTTGTGGACGCGGACAATGACGACAAAAGTCACAGGCTTGATGATAATTAAAAGAATACCTCAAATCATTTACAGAAGCCAATTAGTTCAAGATGTACAAGGAGATCACACAAGATATTTATCCTATAATAAATGACATTTTGTTTCCTGCTTTTATTTCTAGAGTTATGTCCCCTTAATGTAAAATATCATAGAAAAACAAGTTTTTTAGTACTCCTTTTTTGTATGTTTAAGAAATAAAATACACTTTTTTAGGCGAGAAATGTATTAAAATTGTGTGCTGTTTTGAAGTTTTAATTTGAAACAAAACGTGAGCATTTGTGCATGAGCAACAGAAGATTGTAAGACCAATGATTTGTATAGTTATACAAATCCTTGGTAAGACCTACTTTGTCAATTATATGTAATTGGTTTTGTGTATATGTTGTTGTTTTGTAAATAAGTTAATTGTTTGTTAATTATGCTTACTTAACAATTTACTGATAAGAATTTCATGCAAAAGTGTGAACCTTATAATACATAAATACATTAACAGGGTGAATTGCAATATGCTTGGCAAATAAAAAATTCTAACGATCCATCATTAAACAGTTAAAAATACATGAAAGGTCTTTTTTCTTTTATTACAGATTAGAAAGTGTTTTGTCAAGGTTTATAGACCACCATCAAAATTATTTTTAACTGTTTCTAAAAAAATACAATTTCTGACGATAAGTATGACCGGGAAAACAGAAGACCAGTGCCTTATGGTCTGACCTTAATTACATAAATTTGCAAACAATATATCACAACAACCATTTTCATTGGTTCGGAAAAGTGTGACAATTGGACTGGTGCAAAAACAATAAAATGATAGCCCAATTGAATTTTGGTAATCAGTACCATCAGGTCCATCCACTTTCAGAAGGTTCATTCAAACATCTGTTTATCATTTGGAGATTAAAAAATGAGAAAAAACAGCCCAAGTCTTATGTTAGATAGATCAGTTACTGAACTTTTAGTGATATGCTTTAACTTGGTGTGATTTTTTATGTGGACTTACTTTAAGGCTTGATAGAATTGGTAATTAGGATGTATATTTATGTAGGCTGCAATAAGGTCGGCGGTGGAGAATGGTCGTAAGAGTGCCGGACCTACTGCTGGTGAATACAAAGATCTCATCAAAGAAAAACTACAGACTGCCTGTAAGTGTAAGACACATAGTACTGTAAACCGACTAATGCTCAAGAGCGTTACATTTATATGACAAGACGTTAGGAGTAGACAAATAGTGCAAATACACCTTATCCCTATTTGTCCGCCATTACTGGACATCACAAAGGTTCCTGTAAAATTTTGACGTCACAATAGAAAATGTCTGACGCCACAAAAGAAAAGTGATAACTGTATGACATTAAAAGTTCAAGTGTCGCAAATTCTGAGGTTAAGTGTCGCAGATTCCCAAATAGCAATAAGGTCTTTATAGATCTTCTGAATATGACAAACTTGAATCTCTCGTATAAATACATCAAAATAGTTTGAAAATCGGGAAAATAAATCTCTACAAAGTCTTATTAAGGGCTAATTAAGTTAGAAAAAAAAGGTATCCATGAAATTTCATGGGGATGACGAGTAATCTCAATGTAAATCGTCCTAAATATATATGTCAACCTTTAATATGAATACTTCAACAAGTATGTAAAATGGGATAATAAATCTCAGAAAAGTCTGATAGAAAAGTGGGAAATGAGAAAAAAGTAGCTGTGAAAATAAAATTGTTTACAGTATTACACGTGTAGAGTGTGAACTAGATGTGTGTTATATGAGGTCAGATGTTTATGCAAAACTAAGGCCAGAGATAGGTGGATAGAGTAAGATAGTCATTCCTAGAGCTGGTGAAAGAAAATATTGTAATTTGTAAGGACAGAGGTTAAATATGAAATTTCATAGACTGTTTATGTGAATCTATTTTGTCAACATCTTGCCCATAACTGGCATGAAACTATTTTGTCAACATCTTGCCCATAATGGCATGAAACTATTTTGTCAACATCTTGCCCATAATGGCATGAAACTATTTTGTCAACATCTTGCCCATAATTGGCAAGAAACTATTTTGTCAATATCTTGCCCATAATTGTCATGAAACAATTTTGTCAATATCTTGCCCATAATTGGTCTGAAACTATTTTGTCAACATCTTGCCCATAATTGGCAAGAAACTATTTTGTCAACATCTTGCCCATAATTGGCAAGAAACTATTTTGTCAATATTTTGCCCATAATTGTCATGAAACAATTTTGTCAATATCTTGCTCATAATTGGCCTGAAACTATTTTGTCAACATCTTGCCCATAATTGGCCTGAAACTATTTTGTCAACATCTTATCCATAATTAGCATGAAACTATTTTGTCAACATCTTACCCACATAATTGGCATGATGAACAGCAATAAAAGCACTGCTCCTTTGCTTTTTTTGTGTTTTTTTGCTGTGCATGTACTGATTTTGTGTCATGGATGGATACCCCATATCCTTTGTTTTTCAATTATGAAACTATTTTTTTTAACATTTTACCCATGATTCAAAGCAAATAAGTCACAACCTGTTCTTTTCAGTATCAAATACAGATGGGGAGTCTATTCCACAAATTCCGGATGACGCTGAATTAAGTCCTGAATTACTGGAGGCATTGAAGAACAACTCCGTCACGCCAGAGGACATAGAGATTGTAAAAGACGAAGAGACTGGAAAAAGTGTTGTCAGGTCAAGAAGTCAAATGTCAGCTGCCATGGGTGGGGTCAAGGAAGGTCATATTTATGTTCCTGTTGCCAAAAGTATGTACAATTTATTGTGTATTTTTTTTGTGGTTATATATTCCTTATAATAGTTGATAGAATTTTATTTAGTTTATACCATTTATAATTAACAAATCTTGAAATTTTCTACCTATTCTTGTAACATTACAGTGCAAACATAAAATTTGAACGGTGTGGTTTCAGAGAGCACGTTGCTGAAATAAGATAAAAAAAACCATTGATATATTTAATTGAATTTAATGAAGTATTTGTATTCATATTCATATTCATATTCATATATTATAATAACAACAATGTTGATTTCAATAACCATAAGTGTGTTAATTAGATGATTATTTACTTAAAAGATTTGAAGATTGAAACAAAGAGGGTTTGCACTGTTATTATACTTTTCTTGGTTTTTATTAGTTTGTACTTCCAATATGATTTACTACACAACCTAAACCCCTTTTATAGAAAAATATATTGCACTTATCATTAATGTATTATAATTTTAACTTTTCCTTCCAGTTGTTTAATCTGTCTATCTTACTGTATTTCTACTGACATGAAACTGATGGTGCTTTGTTTATCTCCTTGTATACTACAGCTCGTGAGGATTGCGTCATTTCTACCCGTCCACAGTGGTAGTGGGCACAGAGTCTGCAAAACTTCGGAAAAATCCCTTGTACCTATCCTTTAGATCCGTCAGGAATTATTGCTATGTTTTTCATAATGCGAAAAATCCTACTGTATTAGGTTCACAATAAAAAACTTGCATCCATATTTTCCTTCATAAAATTTTTGCAATCGCATTAATTAGATTTCTTATTTTTGCCAGTGGTCAAGAATTTGCAATAATAAATGTCCACATTCATTTCTGAATTAACAGTACAATATTTAAAAATAAATCTATGGTAAAATTTGATTTGGCAGAAGTGGCCTACCCACTTTTGACAGTTAGAAATGACAAAATCTGCATGAGATGTAGTGTTAATCAGTTTTACTTGGCCTCTTTTTCAAACACCTTCGAGCATCTGAATCGTGCATGTACAATCTTGTATATCAGAAGAAATTTAATTTAATAGTCTGTAGTTGGACTTATTTCTACTAGCATACAGGACTAATTTATGCTTGTATACAAGAGAAGATGCTTTTATTGTTAGCTTTACAAATGCTTTTCTGCTAGCTTTCTGGCTGGATTTACTTTGCTTTTTTCTTGCTTTACTAATCATTTTCTTTTAGCTTAGCTATTGCTTTGATATGCTAATTGTTATCTTGTTTTTGTGGAAAGAGTTTGCAGATTACACATTTTTTTTTTTTAAAAGGGCCATTGCAGCCTACACATGTACATACAGAAATAAAAAAAAATACAACATTTATGATCAAAAGTCTAAAAAGGTGAAGAAATTATACATGTACGTGAAATGTATGAAGTAAACAATGGGCCATTTATGAAATATGGCAAGAAGCAAAATCCAGTGGGAATTAATCCACTAAAACAAAGGGGACATTACTCCACCAAAATCAAGGGGACATTAATCCACCAACATCCTGGGGACATTAATCCATCAAAATCAAGGGGACATTAATCCACCAACATCCTGGGACATTAATCCATCAAAATCATAGGGACTTCAATCCAACAAAATCAAGGGGACTTTAATCCAACAAAATCAAGGGGACTTTAATCAAACAAAATCTAATCCACCAAAATCAAGGGGACATTTATCACCAAAATCAAAAGGGCCAATACAAATAAACAAAATTTGATTTTTGGAAATCTACATACAATTTAATGAATAATGAGTTTGAACCCTTACATATTTGGTCACATGATAGCAACTTATGAGAATGAGGCTGACATACAAGAGTCACATATTTTCCCCTCTACCTCTACACCAAAAAAATGAGAGTGAAACAAAAACATCTCAATAACAAAACAGTAGAAAGAAACATGATTAAAAAGAACAATAAGAATGTTGATATGAAAAAGTATGTTAATGCATAAAATTTTTTAGAAGTTTTTTTAGAATCTGCAAGTTCTGTGTTGTTGCTTTGTCTTGATGTGTTTTAGCTTTTAATTGAATCTGATAACTTTTGTGAGGTAGCTTAATTAGCTTTAATTTGCTGTTGTCATATTTTAGATATTTTTTTATTTAATTTTTAATTATAACTTAATTTAATTGTTTATTAAAAAATATTAATAGTTATATTGTACTGCAGTGAGGAATTATTCTTAATTGTAACTATGAATTATATTAAAAGAAGCAAAAGAACATTTAAATCATTTTCAAAAAACAACTTAATTCTTACAAGTAGTTTTTGTTTATCATATTAATAGTGATTTCTAAATGGTGATTGTGTATGATAAATTGTGTATGATAAATGTATGTCGAAAGTAATAACTTCTCAGAATTACAATTTTGTTGTGGATTTTAATAGAAATATGAGAAAACAAGAAACTAAGCAAGCTTTTTTTTTTTAAATCATAGAAAAATATTATAGAAATCTGAGAATTTATTTCTAATGAAAAAAAAAAATGAAAATACAAGACAGACCATACATCTATATCTATTATGCATTCTGAAATTCCAGGTTAGAAGTCACAAACTTTCTAAAGATTGAAATGTTGTGTTTTCCCAAGCATTTAATTAATTTTCTTAACTGAAACTTTCATATTTTTATTTCACAGTTGGGGCTTTTTCCAAAGAATATTCTGGGTTAATTGAAAGCCTGTTTGTTAAAATAAATTTCTATGGGTGGTCGGGCTTCAAATAAAGTGCATACAATGACCCCTCATGTACTCCCTGGAACAGCCCTTTTTAAATTCAAAACTGTTATTATAGCTTATAAGCAGGCAGTTGCAGGCTTGCACAAAATGATTTTTCGTAGCATTTCTTACAATCTATTCCAAATTAGAACCCTTTCAGTTTTCAAAAAGGAAATATAAATAAAATCATATAAACAGTAGAATATCTTTTTATGTCACCATGTGAACTGTCTTGTCTAATTCATACTTATGATAGTTTAACTTAGATTTGTTGGTCTGCCTTGTATTACAATGTAATGGTTGAGGGCTAGATTGAATGTTTGTGTGTATTATAATGCTGCTATTTGTAACCACTAATGCTTTGCAGACAGCAACAAACAGCATGGCACCATACCTACCGACCGCCAGTCAAATGCTGACCTAGGAGAAATTGAAGTTATTAATTATGGTGCAAGGTCATCAGATGCTGGGTCAAAGGTCGGATCAGCTAGGACCCACTCAAGTAAAAAATCAGAAAAATTGTCAGATAAGGCACCGTCAGAGAAATCGTCAGAAAAAGGAGGGAAATCTCAACCTCCATCAGTTTTGGGTGAATCTATTGTAGAAGAGGATGAACAGGAAGATATGAAATCACAAAGGTCAGGAGGTCAAATGTCTCAGAAAGAGGTCGAGGAACCAGAGGATGAATTTAAGAAAGCTTTAGTGGAAGTTGAAAAGGTAAACTACAAGATGTTCCTTAAAGTTTTTATGATAATAAATTTGGTTGAATTTCTGTTAAATCTGAGGCTGAGAATGTTACACATTAAAGAGAGGGATTAACTCATCTATTTCTTTTTGTAAATTCAAGAAAAAAAAATTACACAAATATGACTTGTTCATAAGAAATAAAAGATGTGGGTAAACCAGGGCTTCCAAAATTATTTTTAGCCAGCCGGACATTTTATATATTATCCTGATTTTAATCCCTTAGGACTAAATAAATAAAAAGCAATTATGGTAATCAGTTGCCGAGTTGGCCATCCGAATGATTGACATTAAAAAATCAAAGTACTGAAGTACTGAACATCGGATGACCGCAGGTTCTTGTGGATGGTCAAAAGCACATGTCACAGAAACAGATCACATCTCTATACCTGAAACTGAGGTTAATTTACAGAGATTTTTTTTTTCTTATACAAGTTCGTGCTTGGATGATGAATAAATGACAGGAAATTCAACCTCACCGTAATAACTATTATATTGTAGTGATACAAATCAGTATACCTTAGACTATTATACTAATATAATAATAGTTCCAGAGAATACACTGGTTTGTTGTTATATATTATATTAATATTACGGTTGCATGTATATATAATTTTCATCTATTTGTATATCATACTATTCTACTATTATTATAGTGTAATGCAAGTGCATGGTGGACACTCTTCTGTAAAAAAAAATCAAAGTCTAAAAGGCTGTAAAAGCAATTGCTGCCATGTTAATGTTTTGTGGACTTTTATTTTTCATCCATATATATAAGAATTAAACCTGACAGGACAGGAGTGTTGATTAGTGAGAAGCAAGACGGTTTTAACTTTATATCAATATAAGACTTTAGCAGGAAATCATTTTAAATATGTTTTATATTTTACAAGGAGACAACAAGTTTACCAGGCTAAAGTTGGGGTTAATTATACATGTGCTGAAACATATAACTGAAAAAAAAATCATTATGGATTATCCCCTGGTTGTGTTTGTAACTGGGCAATAATTTCCTTTATTGATTTAATTTCAACCATTTTCATAATTAATTTAAATTAACCATTCAGTTAAAACATTTCAACTTTCCAGACGCTAATGTTGAAAAACGGGACAGAAATAAAATATCTTACAAGACATAAACATGTAAAAAATAAATATATATTTCAGCTTACTAAAAATATTTTCATAATGTTACTTTGACATCATTTCTTAAAACTAAGTCCCAAACATAATTGCTCAGTTGACATGTGTCATCCTCATGCGATACGAGATCACTATAATTCTGATGCAATCCCGAAAAGGGGGGTCATCACAAACAAACATGACATTAAATTGTCATTATACGAACTAGAACAAACAGCTCTATGTTGCTTTGATATTTATCAATTTTCAGGAAACATGTGAAATAAATTTCAGGTCCATTTCATTATAGTGCCTAACAAGATTGTGTGAGGTAGACGAAATTGACCTTAAAACGATCGTATTGTCTTTTGATGTCCAAAAATAGGCAGATCGGACATATAAGGACTTTATCTAATGACTACATAAATTTGGGATTTATTATTATTATAATATTCTAATGAAACTGAAAATTGTATTTTTTTTTAGGATAAACAACAATTTTACCTGGCGTAGCCGTTCATAAATGTTTTTCTGCATTTATCTTCGAAAAATGGCGTATTTAATGGAATAGAACGTTAATACAGTAAACTTTCTCTTTTTTCTCCGCAATAGGCTATCAAAAATAATTTATCTAATGTGTATGTGGAAAATTATGTGAAAAGATAAAAAGTGGCAATTGTTACCTTTCATACCTTAAGTTTCGTTCATCTGATTCTGACCAATGCTTATATACTAAATATCTATTTATATGCCGCTACTATTGTTGTTGTTACCAATTATGTAAATCAATTGTATCTGATTTTATGCCCTTTATGGGCCCTGTAATTTGGGAAATAAAAAAAAAATCTATTCATTGATAAAACGTAATATGGACTGGTCCAGTGTCCAGTTTGCAGGTCATTTAATTTTCTGTACACATTCATGCACGCTCTGATTTAATCAATATACTCGTACGAAAAAGCATGAACAGTTTGAAGGTTATCTAATAATAACTTAATCCAATCAAATTGCATAAGATTCAATAACAATGTCAAGTCCACATCATAATGAGTAATAGAGGTAAACTGGGTAGGGAGAAAATGACAGATATTTCAAGTTAATATTTATGCAATAACGAATTAAAATTTGTCAACCAAAAGTTTTGCTACAATTTCAAAAACATGTCGTTCTGTATGGGTATAGTTTTCGGATCTTTCATTAGCGTATTTAAGGCTATAAAAAGTTTGGGCTTCAAAAGTTCACACAATTATTGACTTTATACAGAAAATTCGTCCTTGTAAAACATTTAATAGTTCACAAATGATACGCGATTTTAAAGTAAAATTATTTCTTAAAACACTGCAAAAAATTTCATTCATATTGATAAAGTGGTATCGTCATAAAGTGCGTTGAAATGAACAGTGGTATAGCAAACATCGAATTCCCTCACAAAATGTTATCACACACTACAGTAAGGGGAGTCAGTTAAGTTTGTCAATTTTTAGATACTATACAGGTACAGTAATCTTTTGACACTACGTATACAACCTGTGTGACCTGTGTAGTGATTTTGATTTTACGATAAATTCATGAATGAACGATAATTTTATGAATGAACATGAGCACCTGACCTCTTTCTAAAACACCTATTAAACATATAAAACCGTATTTAATAAGGAGATAATTCAGTCAAATTTTTCAGGACTAAATCAACAACTGAAATGATTCCATTTTTTGATGAAACATCGTACGAACGGAGAACGGAATCGCAGGTATAAAAATGCACTTTTTTCCCTTGTAATGACCGCGGATCTATAATTTTTATAGATCGGTTGAAATCCCAAAACTAATTTGCATAATGGAAATTTAGGCGATAGCAATACATCGGAGTGACCTCAAGGTCATCCTCTGTAAAAACCATATTAAACTTTCTTTGATTCAAATTCGAAGTTCTGACATAAACTGTTAAATTGGCAGTGCATCATTCGAAGTGTGCAACATCAGCGTACTTATATCTGCTTAGACTCTTTATTTGTGCAAAATAACGTTGTCAAAAACTTTACTTTCGTTTTTAAATCTAAACCGGATGTTGTCTTGACAATGGTAAAACATGGACCAGAGACGGATACGCAAATTCCGTGTACGTTTACAAAGCATGAATGAGTGCAGGTAGCTCTTTCTACGTTATTTCTTCAAGAAAATATTCGAAATAAACGTGAGATAAAGGTTTCAATGACAATTTAAGCATTTTTTGAAGGAATTAGGATGCATAATTAAATTTCACACCTGCACACATGCACACACGTGTACTAGTTCAAACAGAGACATGTCTCTGCTTCAAACAACGTGGTTATGACGATTTTTCATTTTCACCTTTTTAATTTTTTCATCAAATCATATTTGTAAACGTATTTCTGATAATTTAAATCTTTTTGACTAAATTAATTAGATGCAAACTGCTGAAATGTAAGAAAATAACTTTGAATAGACCGATCAATGTCCGGTTCAAAATAGTTTACCTGTCACCTGAACAGGTAAATTTCAGCTGTTCGACAACTAAAGTAGGGGTTGTTTTGATAGTACTTAATGATCATGTCACTTTTATGACCGGAAATGTGTGGCTGTTAAAGGCAAAAGGTTGGGTCAAAAAGATCGTGAATTGTGTTAAAATTACCGTCTCTTAAGCCTTGAAAACTAAAAAGTAGATGTCCGTTTCATGCTTTGCCCAGCCGGACTTTTACCGGACATTATACAAATGTCCGGAATATATGACCGTTTTGGAAGCCTTGGGGTAAACCCCAATGAGACAACAACCCAACCATTCAGAAAAACCAACATACATATACAGGGTAAAATACAGTTTATACAGAAATATTTTAAGCTCTAAATTGTCCAATGTTTTATTAAGTTGTGAATAGATTTAACACATACTGTCAAAGATCTGCAATCAACTCGAAATTCTCCAACAGTAAAAAAAACAAACTTTTTCAATAGAAAAATTTAAAAAAAAAAAAAACAAAAAAAATTTCTTTAACTTTGGTTTACCTACCTAAAAGGACGAGCTTCACTTTAAGTTCAAATATGGCCTCGAATTTCGACTTTATCTCAAAATGGCCATAATTTGCTTCTTAAATGGATCTATTCAAAAGCTTTACTACTAGATTAAATAAATCTCTTCATTCGAGTAAATTCTATTCTTCAAAGAAAGCACAGTTTGGATGTATTGTCAAAAAACAATGATTTTGTGCATTTTTTGAACTTAAAAGCTTGAGGAAACCCTTCGCTGCAACCTATGATCCAAAATGTTCTGTAACCAAAAGTTGCCAATGATGATTTGAATCACTAGACACAAAAACTTTCTGGATCATGGGTGACAGCCAATGTAAATTATGTTATAAACTGTTAAGAATTATTGAAAATTGACCAAAACCAGTAATTTCCCTAGTGCTTAGGGGAAGGGGCCCAGGGCCCAAGCAATTGTGAATAAATGTTTGTGAAATGTTGGCTTTGGGGAAGATATATTATTTCGTTTATACAGAGGGCACTTGCTAGGGGGGTTTGGGGACATGCCCCCCAAGAAAATATTGAAAAATTAGGTGCATAATCCTGCATTCTGAGTCAGAGAAGGAATAACTGCATGAATTGCAAACAAGATTCAAGAGATTTGTAAACAAAAAACCATGATACAACACCAACAAAATTTCGCTACAATGTCTTTGATTGGGAATTTTAGTGCTGAAAATTGGGAAAAAAAGGACATATTTCTCTGATGGATGGGGCCCAAATTCGGACCCAAAATGAAGGTTGGAAAATCCCTGAAAACTGATGTTACAACACAAATAATGCATATTTGAGGGGTCGTTTCTTTGTCATTTTAAATGTGATGTGCCAAAAAGAAGTTATTTAATATTAATAGTTATATCTCAACTATTTCTATGTGAAATTTGTAGTATTTTGGCCTGATTAAACAAGTATCAAAATGTTAGGCCCAAATTTAAGCCTTAGTGAACTTACTCCTTTATGTAGTCAAAATTAATTTATTTTTTTGAACTGATTTGTTATACCTTCTTAGAATTTAATTTTGTAATTCCGCTGATTGGGATATAAAAATGGAAGGTTGGGATGGGTTTGAAATTGAATATTTTTATTTAGCTCAACTCAGACTGTCCTGAGTCTGGAGGTCAGGAACCTTGTCAGGGGCTGTCTTTTGTTGTACATGTGTATATCATTTAAAATACCCAGTGTTTAAGTTAAGATTTTGTTATTGTGGAGTTTTTCCATTTTCCAATGATGAACTTTCCTTTTCTAAAAATAAATCAGAACCTACATAATAAAGTCATAACTGTTGGTTAAAGACCATTTATTTTTCAAAACTTAGGTCAATGAAGCGGAACAACAGAAGGATCCTGGCCGACAGAGCGTTGTGAGTAAAAAGAGTGAGACGAGTGCAGTATCAGATAAAAAGAGTGCCGTGTCAGATGACAAAAAGAGTGTACATACAGAGAAATCTGATGCTAAGAAAGCGGTAGCTAAGAAAGAAGAATTTGTAGTAGGTGGGTACACAATTGTATTTTTGTGCAGTGTGCAATGAATTTTGACTTGCTAGGAAGCTTTTTTTTTTTAATAAATCGTGTTTGTTTTAAAAGTTTAATCTTACTTTGGCCCCTTCATGATATGACTCATTTGATTAACAAAAATCATTGGATAAATTGCTTAAGAAGCTTTAAATGAATAATGGCCAGTGATTCATAGTCTAGGTTAAGTTTGTGTTTATAAATCTCCTTCATGAATTGTTAATATAAATCGTTTGTATAACAATAATTTTTTTGTGTTTATGAATTATCTGAATTTTGAAACATGGTATATACTGTACTATTATAGTAGAAGAAGAGGAAAAACATTCTGCTTGCTTCTAATGAAAGTTTTAACACTATACTGTAATGTTTGACAATTGTAATATATTGGGTTTTTTTCAGTTTGAGCAGATTTATGTGATAACTTTCAAGCATATCAATTTTATCAATGTAAAGTAACAAAAAAGCAGCAACTAATTTTTTTTAACAAAAAAGTTTTATTTTCAGCAAGACTTGTTAAATCAATTAGATTTCAATAACTAATAGTCATAGTTTTAAAATGATTTAGGAATGGTAAAAAATAAAAATGAAAATGAGGCTTTATACGGAGGTGTGACTCCGCCACCAAAAGGCGCAACGCCACCTAATGAAGGTAAAGAGTTCTCTCCCTTAACATTGTGTTTGTTCGGCATGGATATCTTGTTTGATATTTTATAATTACATGGTTGCCATGGAAACACTATACATGTTGATTTTTGCAGTGCACCCTACACTAACATTGTTGGCATGGATGTCTTGTGTTGTTTTTTTGTATATTTATATCGGTTGTCATGGAAACATGAATGGATGTGAACCCTGTACTACTAATAGTCATAATTGGTGCCATATGAATGTTTTACATACCGTTGTCATGGAAGCACATAATTGATTGTATATATTCCTGTACTTTACACTTACCCCAGAAATGTATGTCAATATGGCATGTGTTTACGAGGTTAAAGGTCACATTTCTACTGTCATTGGCATGGTAACAAAGGTCATTATATTCCACCTATATATTTCACCTCTGACCTTTCCTTCATGTATACCTTATGGATTAAATGAATCTATGTATAAAGTGATACTTGGCTCAAACTGCACATTTGAATTGTTCAGGATTATATACACCACTCAGCAATATTTAGCAGAAACTTTGCATATGGTTATGGTTAAAGATAAAGAAAAAAAAAATGTTCATTTTAATCATTGAAATTTTTTTTTTATCATAGAAAAATGCAATAAATTATCATAAAGATTTAAAGATATTTTTTTATATTTTTAAAAACACGAAATATGATGTCGATCTTCAAATACAAAATTACAAAAATTATTAATTATTTTGAATAAAGATTTACGATTTAAAAGAATTTTATTACTTCTTCTTAATATGAAGTGCAAAGGTAATTTTATAATATTGGATTTCAATTATTAAAAAAGTGCTCAATTTATTTTAAATGTAAACTTTTGAAATATTATATCTGTATCAATGAATTTCCTAAATACATAAAATCATAATTTTACAGAAGACAAAGGGTCTCAAGCAAAATCAGACGGTGAGATTTCACGGTTGATGATGAATGTTTGGAGCCAAATTTCACCTGAGTTACTTCCCCTTACACAGACTAATTGTTGACACATAACTGTGAACACTGTTAATATTAATCCACCAGAATTGTTTTCACTTGTTATTTTTCATTTGTGAATTTTCAAGATTACCTCCCTTTGTTATTAACTGAGGATTGTTAATATTTTACACATACTGGTTTTGTCATTTGTTGATTACGATGAAATACACTTCAGCTCATGTGGGTTTTGTCATTTTGACCTGCCCAATGTGTGCAACCCACACCTTCCCACTCAAATTTTACCATAGACAAGAGTTCTCTAAAAGTGGTGGTCTGAAGGTTTTGACCACCAAAATTTTGCAAAGGACTAACACAATTTTGATATTTTGTAATAGAAATAATAGTGAGGACCAGCAGATTTACTTCTAGCCTTAACAGGGAAAAGGGATTTTGAGAACTCTGTCATAGATTTGTTTAAAAATAATGATTTTAAAATTTGAAAAGCTCAACTGATTTTACCAATGTATATCAGATTCAATTCCTATGATGGAAGAACTAAGTAATGAAATGTCAATGTAAATTAGGATTCGTATAAGGGACTTTCTAGAAGCTTGGTTCTCTTGGAGACCTATCCCACTGTGGACAGGTGGAAGTGACACAATCCACTTGAACTGTAGTGTATTGTACATGACCCTGCTCTTAACAAATTCATATGTTTAGCCTGGGATCCTGGCACAATGTCTGTTTCCTGTCGGTAGAACCAGGCGTTGAGGAACTGACATGACAAGCTATTACTGTTGATCAGAAATGGTTGATTGATTGTTAATGTTTTAGTAACCAAAACAATTCAATAGGTATAAAAATAAGAAGATGTGGTATGATTGCCAATGAGACAACTCTCCACATGAGACCAAATGACATAGAAGTTGACAACTATAGGTCACCTTACAGCCTTCAACAATGAGTAAAATCAATACTATATTTATAGTCATCTATAAAAGACCCTGAAATGACAAATTAAAAACAATTCAATCAGTGTTTGTTTTTTGCAAAATTTTTATTATTTTAGAAATATTTATGTTTTCTTGAAATTGATGCTACCCCACAGTGCATGCTTCTAGCATCGATTGAACATAAGGACATCTTTATATTTTATCTGGTTCTACTGGCTAGCAGGGAACCAGGATACTAGGCTAACAAAGGATATAGGTTGATTATTGCATTACACATATATTTATGATTGAGTTAATTCCCTTTGTTATTTGTTATCTCCCTCTACTAAATCTTCATTCATGTATATTTCATTAACTGGACGTTAAGCGCCCAACAATCAATCAATGTATATTTCATGGTTTTGTTTTGAAATGTGTGATGATATATTCTTACATTTTTATAAGCAAAAAATTGAAGCATTACATGTATAAGATGACAACACTTTTTGTTCAAGCACAAACTGTTGATATATTTGTTATTTATTTATTTCTACTGTTTTTCGACTTCTACTGGTAACAGACTGGTAGCAAATGTTCTGTACTTTTTAAGCATGATTATTTATTGACTTTTGTTCGTTATTTATTTTGTACAATAAAATAATTCCAATGTTTTAAATAGTTTGATAAACTTGTCCAGTTAATTACATGCACCTTAAGTGGAAAACTGTGTGACATACAAAAGCCTGGGAAAAGCTAGTGTATATTGATCTTGATAAAAAATCAGCTAAGAATTAGAGAAATTTTTATAAAGCACAAGCTGATAAAATTGTTCTCGAGAACTTTTTGCATCTAGAAGTTTAATACAGATAACAGGAAAAAATTTATCTGAAAATTTTAGATCCATTGGAAGAATATCTGAAAAATCTTGCAGCAGGTAAAATAAACAAATTTACCATTTTACCATAGAAAATTTACATGGGTGTGGTATACATTTTTATTTCTACTAGATTTGCAAATATGACTTGCAAGGAAACAGAGTATAAATATTGATATATTACTGTCAATGATTAATTCACTTACAGCTTTGTATGAAATGATTTCCTTATCTTCTCCAAAATTGTTTGAAAAGAGAAAAGGAACATCCTTAACATGTTTTTAACCCACACAAGATATTTGAAATATTATACAATTAATTACTATTTCAAAGTTGTTTTTAATTTGATTGCACTATTGCAAATAAGTGATGAATAAACAAGAAAATTGGGCCTTTTTATACATTTCTGGAGGTAAAATATTCAATTGTTTGTACAAGAGCAAGACTTGATTTTTATACCCTTACTTGAGGTGTGCAGGCTATAAAGAATTCACCTTGTCTGTCTGTGAATTTCTCCAACAAATATTTTCATTACACCTTTTTCTGGTGCTGCTGTCTGCAGAATTGAGTTCATATTTGTTCATCAGCTTGACTGTGAGTGATATGAGGAGTAAAATGAAAGGTGTTATCTCTTTTTGGATCTGATAGATACCTGCATGCCCATACTTGCAGCACAGCATACAAGATTTTTATCGATAAATGACTTTTTACATATCTGACAGTTATTCTGATTTTAAATGGTACATTTTTGTACTTTTTTAGCTCACCTGGCCCATAGGGCCAAGTGAGCTTTTCTCATCACTTGGCGTCCGTCGTCGTTAACTTTTACAAAAATCTTCTCTGAAACTACTTGGCCAAATTAAACCAAACTTGGCCACAATCATCATTGGGGTATCTAGTTTTAAAATTTGTCCGGTGACCCAGCCAACCAACCAAGATGGCCTCCATGGTTAAAAATAGAACATAGGGGTAAAATGTAGATTTTGGCTTATATCTCTGAAACCAAAGCATTTAGAGCAAATCTAACATGGGGGTAAAATTGTTTATCAGGTCAAGATCTATCTGCCCAGAAATTTTCAGACCAATCAGGCAACACGTTGTTGGGTTGCTGCCCCTGAATTGGTAATTTTAAGGAAATTTTGCAGCTTTTAGTTATTATCTTGAATATTATTATAGATAGAGATAAACTGTAAACAGCAATAATGTACAGCAAAGTAAGACCTCCAATAAGTCAACATGACCAAAATTGTCAATTGACCCCTTAAGGAGTTATTACCTTTTATAGTCAATTTTTTACAATTTTCATAAATTTTGTAAATTTTTGTAAATTTTTACAAAATATTTTCCACTGTAACTACTGGACCAAGTTCATTAAAGATAGAGATAATTGTAAGCAGCAAGAATGTTCAGTAAAGTAAGATCTACAAACACATCACCATCACCAAAACACAATTTTGTCATGAATCCATCTGTGTCCTTTGTTTAATATGCACATAGACCAAGGTGAGCGACACAGGCTCTTTAGAGCCTCTAGTTTACTATTATAACATTTTAGGTATTATTTTAATACTAGCATCCAATACAATAAACATTTTATCAGATTTCAACTGCATTAAAATACAGATCCTGACTGTCCATGTGACTTTTTTCTTACAAGGAACTGACAATACTATTTTCTACTTTCTGTTCTGTTTACAAATGTATTATTTCATCAACCAATGAAATGTCAACAATCAAACTTTTGAAAGTGTGTCATTAGGTCCGGGTACACAGTTATCGTCCTTTGATTTTCGTTGTCCACGAATATAGTCCCTAGTGTGGACAGTGTGTTACTTGTCGATTTTTTTTATACCCCTTCCAAATTTATTTCTCCATGTTTTATGACTCAAATAGTAAGTAGGGGGGTGAAATGACACTGTAAAAAAAATTGGGTCATGAATTTTAAAGTAAAGTAGTGATTTGGTCCAGCTGAAAAATGTTAAAAATTAGCACTTCGGAAGCTGTCAAAAGATTTGAAGACCCCCTTAACATGAAATTGTCCATATTTTGAGTTAGAGCCGATGAAGTTTTCTATAATTTTGATATAATTTGTCCCAAAAGTAGTACAACACACTGTAAAAATATTATTGAGAAAGCGCAGGTGGGATTTTTTTAATTTTCATTTATTGTCTAAAAGAAATGCACTACGAAATAACTGTGTACTCGGACCATTAAGACAAAACAAGAGAATCTCGATAGGTCTTTAACACAGAGAGTACAAGGAGCGTTGTCAGATCTTTGAAAGCAAAGCGTGTCCACATGATCTGTATTTTAATGAGGTTGACCTAATTTTAGTATACAATAGCTTTTGGGATTTTCATTGGAGGTTATGGTGACATCATTTTATTGAGAAGCATTTAGTACCATTTTAGTTTTTCTGATGGGTTTATGAGGACAAGATTTTAGTAAATAATAATTGATAGCTTTTGGGGTTTTCATGGGAACAAAATTTCATAATTTAGAGTAAATGGGGGCTTATAATTTAGCCTTATCGCATATGTATGTTGTTGCAATACTGGTTTACTTTTGACCTTCTGTTGGTTATAAATATGTATATTGTATGTCGAAATGTTTCAAACATTTTCAAGAATAAGAGATATGGGGGAAAAAGTGATGTAAATGTAGATTTAAAAAAAAATGATTGAACATTTGAGAAAAGCTGTATATGATATAAAATATGATAAAATGAAAGTATTTAACTTTGTAAATTATATGCGTCTGAAGTGCTTTTCTGGATTTACCTTCATAAGGAACGTTCAAAGCCAAATATTTGAAAGTGAAGGATGTATAAGCACGGAAACAAGTGAAGAGCACTGTATGGTCAAAATGGACCAAAAAATAATAGCCAAATTCATCAAAGGTTAATTTTGCCTGAGGGAGTTGGAACCTTAGTTTCATAATAATTTCCAAATTTCTAAGCGAACAATTTAAGAAATGTATGTTATATAGCTTTTATGATAGTTTATATAACAACAGTTTGCATATTAGAATTATTCATTATTTATGTAACAGAGAAAGAAGCCATACCTCCAGCAAAAAAACCATCTTCTGCAAGGGGAATCCCCGTACAGCCACCAATTGATGATTCAAAATTACCTCCCCTGCCACCAGAAATTCCTAAAGTTATAGATCATGGCCAAAAATCAAAGAAATTTGAAGGCGCTACCAATGAACCATTGTCCAAACCACCAGTAAAGGAACCAGTTGGTGAGAGACTGCTGTCAGCAGACGACAGTTATAGTCACATGACGTTTGCAGAACACATTTTAATATCACATGACGTTTGGAGAAAACACTTTAATTTGAGTGGTTTTTTTTCAGGAGTTTACCAGATGTAAAGAACTTATGTTTTAACATGAATTAATATGAGATGAGTTTTCTTCATATACATGTATTTTATACCAGCACACTATTTTGGTGTATGTACACTCTTTATTCTGCTTGAGGCACATTTTGTGAAGTTGACATTTTATATTTTACATTTCTATAACATGTTTTGTTGTGTTTTATTGATTGATTTAAAATCTTAACACTAATGGGCAGTTTTTAACTTTCAGCTTTCAGTTTTTAGCATGACCAGAGGTCAGTAGCACTTGGATTGTCCAAAATTAGTATATAAATGTTATACTTATGTATCTTAATGTTTCAATTTAACAGGAAAAGTTAACACAAAGGGAGAACTGGAGAAATTGTTTGGAGAATTAGGTCTCCCTCCCACTAAACCGACTACCAAGAAAAAGGGTGAGATGGGATGAGATCTCAAATCTCAGATTCTTATACTCTTCACTAACACTCCTTCCTGCTTTTATAGTTATCTCCCTTGAAGTATTTTCTTTGTAGAGAAACTGGTATTATGATTACCAATGAGACAACTATCAACCACTGCTCAGATGACATGGATAAAGTTAAATATAGGTCACCTATAGCCTTCAACAATGAGTAAAACCTATACAGTATAGTCGACTTTAAAAGGTTGTGACATGACAAAATTTGAAACAATTCAGATGAGAAAAATAACTGCTTAATTTTCGATAACAAAACAATTTACGATAAACAAATATGACAGACATGAACCAAAGACCACCACTAAACTACAGGCTCCAGACTTGGGACAGGCATATAAAGAATGTGGTGGGGTTTAACATGTTCCTGAGTGCTCAACCCTCCCCTTATCTGGGACAGTGGTGTAACAGTGATACATAAGAACAACCTGTAAAAATCGTATACCAGTTTCTCTATGTTTACTTACCATCAATGTATTATTTTTAGAAAGGGTACAGTTTCACTGATCTATTTCTTTTGCATGAATTCACTTGAATCTTTTATTTTAGGAGCTTTCAATATCTTCTTTATAGTCCTACTTTAATGCATGTCAAGTATAAAATACAGGTTATAATCCTGATGCATGGTAAATTATTTTATTCATTATTCTGCACATATATATTGTGGTTTCATTTATTTTCGTGGGAACCAATTTTTTCGTGGATTGCAGGGGTGGATCCAGCCATTTATAAAAGGGGTGGGTTCCTAACCCAGGATAAAGGGGGGGTTCCAACTATATGTCCTTATTCAAATGCATTGATCGTCAAAAAAAAAGGGGGTTCCGATGGATATCTGATTTTGTGGTTTTACCAAAGTCTGCATACAAGCTAAATATAGAAAATGAATACTAATCTTTTAACATTTAAATTTGTGGTTCATGTATATCCACAAAATTCGCAAAAATTGGTACCCAACGAATAATTATAAATCCACAGTAATTGTTTCTCTTATCTACGATATAGTTTAGTCACAACCTTTTTGATATTTGTTTCAAAGTTCCTTTGATGACATTTTACTTTTAATTTAGTTGTTTTGAAATCCTTGTCTGTGTTTGTGAACTATTCTGGATTTTTATGCCCCACCTAGGGGCATTATGTTTTTCGGTCTGTGCATCTGTTCGTCCGTCCGTCCGTCCGTCTGTCCCGCTTCAGGTTAAAGTTTTTGGTCAAGGTAGTTTTTGATGAAGTTGAAGTCCAATCATTTTGAAACTTAGTACACATGTTCCCTATGATATGATCTTTCTAATTTTAATGCCAAATTAAGAGTTTTGACCCCAATTTCACAGTCCTCTGAACATAGAAAATGATAGTGCGAGTGGGGCATCCGTGTACTATGGACACATTCTTGTTTTTCATATCAAAACAAATCTTCCAAAAATGGACCACATGCAGTTGGTTAGTTTATTATGCAATTAAATAAATCACAGTTTTGTTAAACAATATAATGCTTCATTCATGAGAAAAAAAATATTCTTTGAAGCAGAGACGGTGTCTACTATTCCTATTCAATATCTCTTTATTTTTATTGAAATGACGATTCAAAATTTCCTTAACCCTGACCTTAGAAAAATTGCAATTGCATTAAAAAAAGGCCATTTACTTAATGAAACTCTTTGGTTTCTCTCTGAAAATTTGCAAATTTTAAGCTATGAAACACTTTTCTTTTAAATTATTTCATCAGTATAATTATCAGTGAAACATAAAAATAACTTAGTTTAGTTCCTTTTTTTTATGATTTTTTTTTTTTTTTTTCAAAAATATTTTATAAGATAATATAAATATATAAACCAGATTTCAACATATGAGGGCTTAGTTGCAATGTTTTAAAAATGTTTAATTGTTTTCCCTTATGCACATATAAATTGGATGATTTGCACACTTTCTGTGGAATCCGAGTTGTGTCGGGGACTTTTTTTATGGGGGTAGTTGCCTTAAAATTGTTTGTAAAAAAGTATTTTACACTCAATTCTTTGATTCTTACCAAATCTGAAGACAATTACATAACTTAATATTTCAAATTCGACAACGGAAAAAAATGTTTGTTATTAATATTATTATATTTTGTACACCAATTTTTGCATGAGCACTACTTCATTATTATGTACATGCACAGTAAATTAATTTTCAGTTGATGTGCACTATTTTTACAGGTATACACAATCAAATTCTTTGGTTTATGTGCATGTGGGTATTTTAGATTTCTTTCCTAGAAAACACTCTACTGTGATGTATATAAATAACATGAATCTAAGCTACTTAAATTATTGACAAAAAATCATTGTTCCTTATTTCTTTTTATTTTTTTTAATGTGTTATAAATATTTTAGTTTTAAACTTTTGTTGAATTGAATTTTAAAGTAGAAAATACTTATTTTTATAATATAGTAGTTGCAAAATGATAAAGTTTCTATTTTTTAGCATTTGCTGTAAATATTGTTTCTTTGAAAATAAATTTGAACATTTTAGTTTTTTACCAGTTATTACAATAGGTTCTATATGTGGACTTATTTATATCATGCATGTTAATCAATTTAGAATAAGATCATTGTCTTTTACATTTGTTGATGGATATCTTTGTAGGTAAGCCAAAGGACACCAAAGGTAAGAAAGCACCTGCCAAGAAACCAGGCAAGGCAACGAAAGGCAAAAAGGCAAAGGACGAGGAGCCTAAACCTACTCCTGTTGAGGAGCCTCCTACAGAGGAACCACCTCCTAAGGAGCCTACACCTCCTCCTTCACTACCACCATTGGAGGATAAAGGTGCTTCTGATAATGAATCAGATAAGGTAAAATTATGTTCCATTCGAATTCTAATGAGAGACCAAACTTGTTATGTTTAAAAGGCTCTTGCATGAAGAGGAACTTCCTAAAGAGCCCATACCATTCCCTTAAGAGGAACTACCTGAAGAACCCGCAACATTTCCTAAAGAGGAGCTTCCTAAAGAACCCAAACAATTCCAAAAAGAGAAACTTCTTTAAGAACCCTATCAATTCCCTAAAGAGTAATTTCATAAAGAACCCACACAATTCTCTAAAGAGTAATTTCATAAAGAACCCACACAATTCTCTAAAGAATCCACACAATTCCCTAAGCCAAGGAAGAACTGCCTAAAGAACCCACACCATTCCATAAAGAGGAACTTCATTAAGAACCAACACAATTCCCTAAGGAGGAACTTCCAAAAGAATCAACACCATTCCCTAAACAGGAACTTCCTAAAGAACCCACACAATTCTATAAAGAGGAACTTCCTAAAGAACCCACACAGTTCCATAAAGAGGAACTAAAGAACACACACAAATCCCTAAAGACGAACTTCCTAAAGAATCCACAAAATTCTATAAAGATGAATTTCCTAAAGACCCCACACAGTTCTATGAAGAGTAACTTCCTCAAGAACCCACACAATTCTTTAAAGAGGAAATTCTAAAAAAAAAAAAAAAAAAACACACACAATTCCCAAAAGAGAAGCTTTCTAAAGAACCCACACAATCCTCTAAATTAGAGCTTTAAAAAGAACCACACAATAAGCTCAAGAGAAACTTTCTCAAGAGACCACACTATCTTTATCACTTCCAAAAAAAAAGGACAAAAGGCAGCTTTAGATAAAGAATTTTAAAAGTTAAAATTAACATTCATTTCACTTCTAAGGAAATCATGCATACAACAGATGAAGGTAAGTGTTACCCTAATTGTGTATCTGACCAGGTTGATTTTACTAGTAAGGGCCTTCACCTCTCACATTCTCCTCACCAAAGGAACTAGTAGGCAATGGGGGCATTAAGTGTTACGTACTTGACTGCCCGTCCTTCTTTCCATCCTTCCGTCCCATTTTCGTTTCCGCACTTAACTTAAGTTTGCCTCATGCAAATTTTATGAAACTCATACACAATTCTAAGAACCATAACTTGCAGACAAAAAGTTTAATGAAAATTAAATGTATCATAATATCAATCATTTCAAGAATGATAAATATATTTTTAAAAATGTGGTAAATCATTCATTTTTTTGCAACAGGTCAAAATGAAGGTAGATTGAACTTGAATGAAAATTAGTGTTGATTGGCTGTTTTGAATGATCAACTTTGTTGTACTTTTGCTAGTTTTGTAGAAATAGGCTAATTATTTACAGTTACATGTTTCAGTAGAATAAAAGGAGATTTGGGTATATGTCAATGGAGACAAGATCTCCCGGATATTAGAATCAAAGTAATTTATCTTTATCTTAACAGATGTTGTCCTTGATATCCACATTTTAGCATTTTTTGTACTCTTACTTCTATATTGTAGTTATAGATTATCGTTGGTTATCTCATCAAGATTTATTTTCTCGCTTGAGCCGGTACGGCGAAAGTGAGAAAAGCAATCGAGTTGAGATGACCAATGATAATCTGTTTATTGCTTTTTTACCTATGAAGACGTTGTTAATTTCCTTGACAACGGCACGTGTTCCCTTAGTTTCTAGCGACAATTTTCATATCACTCGACTCAGCTGAGAAAGGAAATAATCAGTCAGCAAGATCAAAGAAAAAAATTTCTAAAATAGAGATAATAACATATTTAGACTACAAATGCAAATACAAAATGTTTTCAAATGTGTATTGAAAACATATTTTCTAGACATTCAAAATGCATTTATAGTAATAATAAAACCCTAACAATGAGTATGGCATTTTTATTATCATTTATCTGAGTATACATCATTAATTATTTTTTATTTGACATGTACCAAATTTTCAGAGGTCGAAAGTTTCTACAAGGTCAAAAGCTAGTACAACAAATCTAAGGAAATTTCAGTCAAAGGTAGTTGTGACAACAACACAGAATGATTTGTTTTCACTTTCAAGGGAGATAACTTGTCACATTTGGCACAGGGTATCATTCTAAGGCAGATAACTTATCACTGATAGCACATTAAATTTTGCTCACATATTTGAAAAAGTCACATGATACACATAATCTAAAATTTCAGAGATTCCAAAAGGAAGATAATTTTTGAGCTGCAACTCTATGGGGTAAAATGAATACAACTTTAACAAAGTGGAAAGATAATATAAAGTCTTTCACAACTTGATATGTGTTGTAATAATTTCAGCCTTTTTCACTTTTTGTTCACAATCGCACAAAAATTCACCACTGATAAAATCAAGTTAATTATATCATTTTTATGGCCCCACAACAAAGTTGCCAGGGCCATATAGTTTTACCTTTGTCCATCATTCCGTCATTCCGTCATTCTGTCATTCCATCATTCATTCATTCCACAACAAACCATTATACAGACTTTTTTTCTAAACGCCTTCAGATATTGGGCAAATTTTTGGTACGTGAGTGATGAGTTACAGATCAAGTTTAAGTTTCGTTCCGCTCTGCTAATTTTTGCAGAAATTACGGGCTTTGGACTATGAAAATTGTTGAAAATCACAGTTATATGGACTTTTTTTCTAAATGCCTTCAGATATTGGGCAAATTTTTGGTACGTGAGTTAACCATGATGAGTTACAGATCAAGTTTAAGTTTCGTTCCGCTCTGCTAATTTTTGCCGAAATTATGGGCTTTGGACTTTGAAAATTGTTGAAAATCACAGTTATACGGACTTTTTTTCTAAATGCCTTCAGATATTGGGATGCTTTTTTTTGGTATGTGAGTTAACCATGATGAGTTACAGATCAGGTTTAAGTTTCATTCTGCTCTGCTAGTTTTTGCTGAAATTACGGACTTTGGACTTTGATAAATTGTTGAAAATCACAGTTATACGGACTTTTTTTCTATACTATACGCCTTCAGATTTTGCGCTGATTTTTGATATGTGAGTCTACCATGATGAGTTACAGATCAAGTTAACGTTTCGTTCTGATATACTGATTTTCATGTCATTTCAACACATCTTCAGAACATCCACTTCCTGTTTGCTGATAGTTTGAAATTTAACTACTTATTGATCAAGGAAAATTTTTCATCAAACTAGTATTGGTCTTGAGAGCTGGATACTATCCATGCATGTTTGTGTCTACATGTGTTGTTGAAATTGCAGATTTTTAAATTTTTTTGAGATGGGGCCATTTGTGTCGTTCCGACACATCTAGTTTTTCTCTGTTTTTTTGTTTCCTTTATAAGATAATATTATTATATCAAATTATTAACAATTTCATAATATGATTAATTCAGTATTTGATTCTTTACATTTATATAAAACAATCACTGTTAGAAAAACAGAAACAATCAGAACATTTTTCAGATCTTGTGAAACAGAAACAAACTTTATGCCAAAAAAATGATCGCAAAATGACAAGTCAAAGTAATAAAGAAATAAGCAAAAGACACATTTAAGGGCATATACGATACAATAACAGGGAAGGTAATGACGTTTGCTAACTTAAACTGTTGTTTTTCGCGACGTCAAACTGCAACATATCGGGAAAAGATGCATTTTTCGAGTGATTTTAATCATAAGCTTGAAAACGAGTACACTGGACCCCTCTTTTTTAAAATGACATTTGACTTGATACTGTATGAAGATTATTTTTTCCAATTTTTATGAAAAAAAACACCGATGATTTTTTTTTAAATCGGATAAATATGCAGCATAAAATACTGTTTTTTAGCACATGAAGGTATCTTTTTTGTCCCCCGTGAACGTGTTGCGGGGTACATAGAAATACCAGGTGTCCGTCTGTCTGTGTGTCCCTCCGTCCCTCCATCCAGTTTTGTTAGCTCTCTCACAGATACAATTCTTACCAGATTTTTATAAAACTTATACTATAGGTTAATGTCAGCAAGTATCTCTGACAAGTTTTATAACGGTGGACGATCGCCTTTTTTTTAAGAGTTATGCCCCTTGGAAATATTAGATTTATGGAAAATGGCCTCGTTAGCGCTATCACGGGTACAATTCTTGCCAGATTTTTATAAAACTTAGGATGAGGAATATCTTCTTTACTAAAGAATGATCTTAATTTGTGTAAAAATTCTTTATTGATAATTAATTTTTTTATTAGATTTTCATAATTTTAGAAAAAAACAACATTTTTTGCTGCACATTTATCTGATTTAAAAAAAATCATCAGTGATTTTTTCATAAAAATTGGAAAAAATAATCTTCATACAGTATCAAGTCATTGCAGTATATTATAATTTGTTTTAAAGATAAAAAAAAAAGGGTTTTTTAGTTATTGCCCTTGCACCTTTGATAGATAAAATATGTGCAACATGGGGGACATTGGAACTCTGTTCTTTTATTATTACATATTTGAATTGACTAGGTGAAAAATAGCTTGTATGCAAATTTTCTTAAAAAAATCACTGTGGGATCAAAACTGTATCGTATGCCCTTAAGATAATGTGTTACAATAACTGGTATTTTATTGAAAAATTTAAATGTTCAAAATCGGTATGTTAAAAATTTATATGTGATTTCATAGCTAAGATCTTAGTTTGATTTGAGGTAAATATTTTTTTGACCAATTATCAACTCCAAAAACTAATACTTCATTGTGAAATATTCCATCAATTTTATTACCTGTAAGAGACACATATCAAACTTCTAAATATAATGTCTACTAATTTTTCTTCGAAAAATTTCATGCCGATATGTGACATAATAAGTAATTTTTACTCTGGTGAAATAATTTTGACAAATCATTTAAATTTTCTATTTTGTATTTTATAGGAGTCAATTGCTGAGACTGCTAAATCGTCTGAGAGTGACTTTGAGTTCCACTTTGTACGGGAAACACCATCGCCATCACCCCCACCACCACCAAAACCACCGTCCACGATACCATCAGTTGACGATGAACCAACAGACGATGACGAGAAACAGGAAGGAGAGGATGTAAGACTTTTAACCGCCATTTTTAAAATTTATGTCAGTTTGGGTTCATGGACTTGCTGTCATGGTGATATGTTCTTTGTTGATATGGTGATGTGTGTTTACCAGTTTTTGGATTTTGGGGAATTTTGAAGTTGCTATTCCTCTTATTAATAATTTTACGACTTTTGAAAATTTAAGTACCTTTTTACCTTTCATTATTCCACTTATTTTTCCAGTTCTGTATCTTTGTTAAGGGATTTTGACAAAAAGGTTCTTTTCTAGATTTTTATACGACCGCAAAAAATTTGTGTTCGTATAATGCTATCATGTCGTCCTCGACGTCATCCGAAGACACATTTGGTTTCCGGACAATAACTTTAGTTTAAGTGAATGGATCTCTATGAAATTTTACCAGAAGGTTCAATACTACAAAAGGTAGGTTAGGATTGATTTTGGGGGTTATGGTACCAACAGTTTAGGAATACGGGGTCGACAACAAGCATTTTTGTAGTTTCCAGACAATAACTTGTGTGTAAGTGTATGGATCTCTCTGAAATTGTACCTCAAGGTTCTATATCACAAAGGGAAAGCTGGGATTGAGTTTGGGGATATCTGACCATACTAGGTAAATTAAATGTCCCATTTCAAATTTTTAAGATCTTTGACCACATTAATTTTGTGTCAAAAACCTATATTATGTCAAAAATTTGATCACAATCCAAATTCAGACAGTATCAAGCTTGAATATTGTGTCCAAACTTGCTCCAACTGTTCAGGGATCGACCTCTGCGGTCGTATCAGGCTGCGCTTGGCGAAGCATTTTATTTAAAACTTAATATTAATTGATATTTAATTTGAGGGTTGAGGCATTCTTCATTAAAATAAGTTTCATTGAACATGAAGAGCTCAAGTTAAAATGTAAAAATAAATCTGTTCCTTAAAAACTGATTATGTGCAAAAGAGATTTGATACATATTTCATTAATCATTTTAAGGAATTTAATAGTTTCTATCTTATTACTACATTAATTTCACCCTGTGGGGGATGCCAGGGGGGGGTAGAGGGCATACATCCCCTATTTGATTGCCGAAAAAAGTGCTTATGTTTCCCAAAATTTAAATGATTTTTAGTTCATTTTGGAACTATGCCTGTTCTTTCAAAATCCTGGATCCGCCCCTATCGCCTATGCTTAAATTATATCAGGTATTTATTCAGAAAGAGTCAATAGTTGCACTGATTTATTATTTTCTAATATTATTGAATTGCAGGTCAAATGAACTGATCGTTTTTTTGTTTTTTGTTTAAATAGATAGATCATGCCTTTGTAGCCTTTATGCTAGTTGTTAAACCAGGCTAAATTTGTTTAGTAATACACTTCTTATTTTACTATAAAAAATTGAAATGCAGTTTTCAAAAGTACCTGAGCTAGTGTCTTTGTCTTGTGACTGAGTGATATAATTTGGTGTAACAGCTGTTATTTTTGTGTGTGACTGAGCTATTCTTTTTGTGTGTGAACAAACCAATTGAATTGATCAATAAGATTCAATAATTTCCAGGTAAAGAGGAAAATGAAGGTAAAACAGTAGATGACCCATATTTTTTTTTTGTAGAGCATATGAATATACATGCTTTATTTATTATTTTATTTTAGGGTGGCCAAAAGGTAATTGCGAATGACCTCAACAGGACCCTCACAAAGTGTGAAACATTACACATAATATTACTAATTCATATTCACATATTCTCCCTATTGTAAATCTCCCATTTCAGAACTTGAATTTCTAATGTTTAAATGTGTATCTAAGAAATTGTGATACTATGTGAATTAATTATTTTTTGTAGGATACCAATACAAGTGGATTTTCTTTCTTTGGGTGAACCACGAAATTAAGTGTTCAAGGAACTTCAAATTTTAATATATATTACATGTACATGCAGAATTTGTCAAAACCATGAACTCAGAGTATCTTCAAAATTACAATTTTTCCTCAATCCACAATAATTGGTATCCATGAAAATTAATAGATCCACAGTACCCTGTGTTTAAAAACCCCATTGAAAGTTCATTATGGGAATAAAGATGAAAATTGTTTGTACTCTTAATGACCTAGCTTATTTTTGTATAAAAATGATTTGCTATCTGTGGTATTGTTGCACTACAGTTGGTGGGTCAAATTGCACAATACTTTACAGGGGTATATAGCAGTATCTTTTTCAATTCCTTTTTCCATATTGTAAACCTAGATATGTATCTCTGAAGCAGAGACATTTTAACATATTTGGGATGCAATATGAGATAATAAAAAAATTTGTTGTTAAGCAAACTTCAAGTGCCCAATGGGATACTGCATAAGGTTCTTGCAGTGGAAATCCCAACTTTGGAACAATGGAATTTTTTCGGAAAATCTGTTCTTTACAAACATTAATGATTCCATTCTTTTTACACCTTTAATATATGGTTCTGCCAGTTGTACTCGGAAAAATAAAACACAAATGGTTGATATAAAAAAGAAGATGTGGTATGATTGCCAATGAGACAACTCTCCACAAGAGACCAAATGACACAACTATAGGTCACCATACGGCCTTCAACAATGAGCAAAGCCCATACCGCACAGTCAGCTATAAAAGGCCCCGAAATGACAATGTAAAACAATTCAAACGAGAAAACTAACGGCCTAATTTATGTACAAAAATGAACAAAAAACAAATATGTAACACATAAACAAACAACAACCACTGAATTACAGGCTCCTGACTTGGGACAGGCACATACATACAGAATGTGGCGGGTTATATTTTTGCATTATTGATATTTTTTGTTTACAAATCCAAATTGTGTTCTTGACTTTGAGGTCCATTAGGGATATTGACTTATGTGGCCTGTCCAATCACATATAATCAACCTCAGTTGAACATTGGTCTAATCTCACACATTAGAACTTGATTGATTGGTTGTGTTTTGCTTAAAATTCATTGTCAGATATTTAATCTGCATATTCAGAACAAAAAGCTGAATCAGTGCTTTTGATCTTTGACAAATGACAAAAGTCGTGTTAATCTGTTTTCAAGTAATGAACTTTCAATGTTATTTCTATTCTCTTCAAGTTCTGAAACATTTAACTAATAAAGTTATATAATTGGTTCAAGGGAAATAACTCTGAAATATTGTGTTAATTACCTCCCTTTGATGAAAAATAACTTATTCTTGTTGCATGCTGTAAAACCAAGAATTTAAACATATGAGAAAACTGTATATGTACCTCTTGATGGCTGTGAAATTGTCATATCTGACAATTCCAAAAAAAACAAAGGAGCAGTTCTTGTATTGCTGTTCATCTAAAAGGCACATCTATATTAAATTAAAAAATACAATTTGTGGCTTACTACTGGGAAAGTGAGCTTCTGAAATAATGTTTTAAAATTAATTTATTTAGATCAAATTCTATATTATTATTTCTTTTACTGCATTACAAAATCTTAAATAATTCTTTGTGTTCTAGTTCAGCACCAGTTTTAATTCACAAAATTACTTTCCTGCCATAAAATTATTTAAAAATCAAAGTTCATAGGAAGAAGTTGAGGTCACTGCAAATACTGTGATATTATGAGAGTGTAAACATATAATTTGATTATCTTTGTGTATTATTTATTTGTTTACAATAATTTTTGGTGTGTTTAGATAATTTTTCCCTAGTAGGTACCATATATAGATTGTATATATATATTCCCAGTATATCTGATGGAATGTCGAATGAAAATATAGAAATCTGCTCTTTGACAAAAACCACTAGGCCTAAGCTAATGACTAGTGAAAATTGGTTTGAGATAGTTTAAATTCTAAAAAAAGTTTAAATTCTAAAAAAAACATGTTTAGACATGTGGTAGTATTTTAAGAAATGAGGTTTTAGACTAGTATGTGTTAAAGTTTTTGGTGCAGATTAGATATCTGACCTGGTCTATCTGACTGAGATCCATAGCCCCACCACCCCACCCCTAACTTCTAGGGACAGGCATTGTAGTGTTGGACGAATTAAAAAAAAAAGAGAGACAAAATTTAGAAGTCGAAGAGAGACAGACAAAATCATTGCCAAAAAAGATGAAAAGACAAACACAAGTCTACAAAATACTACATTTAAACTTGGACTAAGTAATACAAGGTATGACAAAAAAAAGGGGGGGTGATCTTGGATGCTCAAAAAGGGTAAGCAGATTCTGCTCCACATGAGGAACCTGTTGTGTTGCTCATGGTAAGTACATACTCTGTGTAAGTCTCATTTGCTGATGGCGCAATGGAAGAAAAGAGGAAAATCTATGTATTAAATTAAGCTGTCTTGTTTGTTCTGGCATAGAAAGGCCTCCAAATTCATTTCTTAAAGAGTTGATACATTTGGGACACTGTTAGGTTATATATAAATATAATTTTTTGACATTTATACACCCAATTTTCCATATATGTCCTGTTGCTGTCAACATTTGTTCCTCATATGTGTCCCATCCTGTCCCAGTTTTTATTTCATGTCCATTTCTTATCATTTGTTCCCAGTTCCTCGTCTAGCTATTGCTAGGCCTCTTTGTACTGTTGTGGTGTAAATCACCACACTATCAATCAATCAAAGTCACTTAACATGTATTAACACTTATAACTGAAACCTGAATGTGAAACTGTTTTTTACTTTAATCTCTACATTTGATAAACATCATAAAACAATTACTGTAAATTCAGAAATTATTGCATTCATTTATTATTGCGATTTTTCAAGAATGGACAAAAAGGCGAGATTAATTATTACGATATCAGGAAAATCTGATACAGGTATATATAACAGATATCTGAATGCGAGTTCTTATTATTGCGATAGTCACTCAGTCGCATTATTCGCATTAATAAAAACCTCGCAATAATTTTTGAATTTACAGTATGTTAAGAATAAATATTAACTATAATATTATTTATAATTTTATGATATACAAAATATTTATTACTTTAGTATTATATTTATGGAGGCCTTGAATTAAAAAAATTGCTGTTTAAATTCCTTTTAAAAAAGAATGGTTATATGTGAGCTTTGTCAGATAGAAATTGACCTTATATACAAATGAATATCTGTTAACCTATTTCAGGTGGAACAAATCTCTATGCAAAGTCTGTAACTGTTTGAAAATTGAGTTGATATAAGAACCTACCAAAGAAACCAAAATTCATCTTTTATTTCGTATTTGTATGTTCCAGAATCAATCTTAAGTCTTATACGTATATCGGTCATGTATACGTGCACTTGCATAAGGTTGATTTCTATCCGATGCAACTCATATAATACAATTCTTTTTGGTGCTTTGAAAACAAAAATACAATCATACAATATATATATATAGGTACCGGTATGTAGAGCATACAAAATTACTTCTGTAATTTGTTTATGGGAGCCACAATTTGCTGTTTAAATTCCCTTTCAAAAAGATTCATTCTTATGATGATTTAAAAAAAAATATTGGTGCTTTGAATCAAAAGTGTTTACATCATATAACATATATAGGTACTGGTATATAGAGCAAACAAATTGTTTTATTTGTGGCCTAATCATATAAACTTTGAGGGTCAGAAGGAGTGATCATAAAAATTTCATAGTTTTAAAAAAAAAAAAACGTGTAGAACTGAAATATTGTTGTCAGATTTGGTCAAAATGGAGAACAAGTTTATTTCTCACAAAATAGAGGTATGATTATCTTAAACATTTTTACTTACCACAAAAAAGTAAGCTTTTAATTATTATAATCAATAGTCATATGATTTGAATACAAATTAATATCATGGCGATATTCAAATATGATGTTTATATGAATGTCTGCAATTGCAATAACTTCTCTTCATGCCTTTAGTAAGAAGTCGGAGATTGTTCCAAGCTTCAATTATTTGAAATAATTGAGTCAGAAGGGGTCCTGATGCAAATTAAAATTTCAGCATTAACATCTTGATTTTCAGACAAGTATTTTATTAAAAGAAGGATGCAAGCTGATTAAGCGCTCTTTTTTTATCATGAGCTGCAGTTGTTAATGATAAAAACTGTTTATTTTCACGTTAGTTAAAATTTTACCATTTATGGAAAGAAAATTTACTGTGTCAATAATTGACTTTATTTGAACATGGAGTTAATTCATGAATAAGAATACAAATACTTTACATAAATTTTACTTAAAGATTAATATGTTTTACCTTAAAAGCCAAGGACAAAGGTAAAAAGCATGGTTTTGAATGAAAGATGTTTTTTTTTTACTTCTTTTTTCACACATCATGAATTTCCTCCCTTATGTAAGGTTATCTCCCCTGAGAAAAATTACAATAAATGAATAAATGATGTGGCGTAAAGCTATCGTCAATCAATAAATGTCACAATGATTATTGCAATTATTTGACAAGGAAATAGCGCAAACATTTTTGTTATTTTGATTTTTTAAAATTCAAATTTTTAATTATTTTTTTAATTTCTGAGTTATAGTTTAAATTGATTTTTTTTCAATTCAATAAATCATAATTGTGAAATAAAATCAAAAGTTGTAAAAAAATATTGCTTCATGAAATTAACCTGTGCATCAGGGGAGATAACTATGATACGGAAATTTAAACTAGCTTAATGTAAACGTGATGTTTCACTTTTATTATGAATGTCACATGACATTTTTATTGACTTTTGAATGTCACAGATTTAATTTATATAGAGACGTTTAGTGCTCAAATTGCTTGTGCTTGACACAAAAATAATGATTTTTTGAATTTCATTACATTTAATTATGCTTTTGTGAGGTTTGAAATGATTAAAATCACAACTTTAATAATCTTAAAGATAAAAATGCTTGCCTCAAATGCATGAACTTATTGTTAGTTCCATGTCTGGATTGAAAAAAAAATCTAAAAATTGGGTATTTGCTATTTCGCTGCTTAGCAATTAAAGCAAATGAGTGTCGGCTCTAAGTTAGAAAAATGCATCTTCCTGCATATGCATGTAATATTTACTGCTTGACATTAAACATAAGCCAATAATTCAGTCAGAAATATGGTGGACCCTGTGTTTTTACAGGTTCTTTTGTAGAATTTTGTGAAAAACATAAATATGGTGTCAATTTGGAACAATAATTTTTTTTGTCATTTATATCAGTTGTATCCTTGTAATACCAATACCAAATTATTTATTATAGTGACATGTGTTTTATAATATTAAACAATATATCAATAAGTGGTTGTAATTACATGTATCAACACCTGGCCCTTTTGACCTATAAGTCACTTTAAACATTTATACATATAAAAAGAATAATCATTTAACTTGATACTTTTTCTTTGGAATCTGATAAATTTATGCAGATTGTATATAGATATAAGAAGATGTGGTATGAGTGCCAATGAGACAACTCTCCATCCAAGTCAAAATTTATAAAAGTAAACCATTTTAGGTCAAAGTACGGTCTTCAACACGGAGCCTTGGCTCACACCGAACAGCAAACTATAAAGTGCCCAAAAATTACTAGTGTAAAACCATTCAAACGGGAAAACCAACGGCCTAATCTATATAAAAAACGAGAAACGAGAAACACGTATGAATCACATCAACAAACGACAACTACTGAACATCAGATTCCTGACTGTATAAATGTATTTCACATTTAAACAGGTTCTGAATGATCAAATCAATTTTTGATAAACACCGTGTTGAGAAAAATTTTTGAGTTTGATTAACCTTCTAAATATTGTGGTAGAATCTGTAATTGAGGGTCTTAATGGGGTTTTCAGAATAGATTATAATGGCCAAAAAGTGCAGAATAAAGGGCTAAAATATAAAGAATAAAGAATACTGTGCAATAAAGAATGGAGAAAAATGATATTCAAGAATAAAGACATGAAAGCCCCCCACCCCTTCATTGGTTATGATGATGATTTTGCAGCACAAAAGATATTTTTCACTTTAAAGTAGAGCTGTTAATGTCAGCATGCATGGATTGAAAACTTTTCTTAAAGTGCATTTTAATTTTCAGTTATTTAATTTTTTACAATAATAAAGCAATTAAAATTTTTATAATAATATTTTGTTACCAATTTGATATAATCTTTTAATTTCTTTTGATAAAATTTATTAATTCATAAAGAGAAAATGTGATGGTTTAACCCTTGCACACATCTTTGTACAAAAATGACCCTTTTAAAATTTTTAATTGAAAAATGAAATTTGAAATTAGATACGAAAGCCATATTTTGACTTCAAGTATGGATATTTGCGTAAAAGATTTAAAAGATTAAGATATAATTGAAAATGATATGCCATGTCCTAAATTTAATGATTTAGAAATCAGTATATTTTTATTGAACTAAAGTAAATATTTTAATTAATAATCATGTTTTAATTGACTACACGATTTCAAATAATAACTGTTGTAATATTTTATTGCTGTGTGGCATGCAATATGTGAGAGCATGTTTAATTATTTAATATAATTGTAATTTTCTGCACAAACTTGAACTATTTTTGGTGTGTGTTTTCATTTGACAATAAAGTATACAGCTGAAGGAGTTAGTGTATGAATAGACATTTACATATTTATTATTATTACACATAATTTTACTGGATAAATATTTCATTTGGTAAGTTGCATGGATACGTTTTGTACAGCCATTCTCTCTATGAAACCTTTATTTTTCTTCCCTTTGTTTTTAAATATTTTCAAAATTATACTTATTTTTATTCCTCAGTTAAAAAAAGAGAAAATTCTTAAGATACTTTGAATTGACTTCCAAATTGTAACATGTCGAAAGGGAGATAAGTCTGATAGTACATTAATTATTAAATATGGCTTGGCTATATCATTGATGTTTTATGACATCTGAACCTAAGACTGTTTATAAATTTCTACTGTTGTAAATTAAACTTGCTACCAATTCTAAAATTACTTTCAACTCATTTTTAGGATGAAGCTGCCAGATTACGAATGATTTCCAATCGTGAAGCTAGGGCAGCCAAACGTGCAGCACAAGCTGCCAAGCGTAAAGAGGACGTGGAAAGGAAACGACGAGAGAAAGAAGAACAAGCAAGAAGGGAGAGAGATGAACAAGAAAGGGCTGAACAACTTAAGAGGGAAATGGAGGCTGAGAGACGCAAAACACTCGAGGCAAAACGGTATGTTTAAGATAAGGGGAGTAATTCCTTATCACAATATAAGCAAAATTGATGTAGCTGTCCTAAAATAGGAGCCTGTAATTCAGTGGTTGTTGTTTGCTGTCTGTCATATTTATTTTTATTAATTTTGTCATTTTAGAGGTGTTTGGTTTCCTCCTTTGAATTGTTTCACATTTTGTCATTTTTGAGGTGTTTGGTTTCCTCCTTTGAATTGTTTCACATTTTGTCATGCCTGAACCATTTATAGCTTACTATTTGGGGTGTGTTGAAGACTGTTCAGTTCCCTATATTTGTTTACATCCTGGTCCTTTCATCTCCGGTGAATAGTTGTCTCATTGGTTATCATACCACATCTAAATTTTATACAAGATTTCTTGACAATGTGCAAAAATAAATGAAAGCATGTTGAAAGTCTTATTTTTCTTCCTTTCACATTCAAATGTTAGCCTCTTTAAAAACATTTTTGCGCCTGTCCCAAGTCAGGAACCTCCGGCCCTTGTTACTCTTGTATGTTTTTACAAATTTGGTTCATTTATATGTTTTGTGGTTTTGTTTGACATCCATTTTTACTGAACTAGTACACATTTTTGTTTAGGGGCCAGCTGAAGCCAGCCTCTGGGTGCAGGATTTTCTCGCTGTGTTGAAGACCCATATGTAATGATGTTTTAATACAAACAAACTATAACATCTAAATTATCATGAAAAAAGATGTTGGAATAAGAACTTTATAGTGTAGCCCAGCAAGGGTGGGAACTATAACTCTTTTTCACAAAGCTGTACTATAAATATAGAAACCAGTATCATAAATCTTATTTAAATATCAATTAAGAATGCTGATTAGACTTCTGAAAAAATTTGAAAACAATATCTTTCACATCTAATTTAAACACTTTTGCAGACAAAGAAAAATGGAAGAAGATGAAGAACGAGAAAGAGAGGCCCAGTTAGAAGAGGAGAAAATGGCCAAACAAAAAGCTGAGGCAGAGAAAGAGAGAAGAAGGAAGGAGGAATATCAACGTAAACTTGAAGAAATGAAGAGGAAACAGGCAGAGGAGGAACAGAAACGTTATGGTAAGACATTTTGACTGTGTGTGGATTCACATAGATCAATGGTAAGACATTTTGACTGTGTGTGGATTCACATAGATCAATGGTAAGACATTTTGACTGAGTTTGGATTCACATAGATCAATGATTAGACATTTTGACTGAGTTTGGATTCACATAGATCAATGATTAGACATTTTGACTGAGTGTGGATTCACATAGATCGATGTTTAGACATTTTGACTGAGTGTGGTTTCACATAGATCAATGGTAAGACATTTTGACTGTGTGTGGATTCACATAGATCAATGGTAAGACATTTTGACTGAGTTTGGATTCACATAGATCGATTGATGAATACAGAAATGTTATGGTAAGACATTTTGACTGAGTGTGGATTCACATAGATCGATGTTTAGACATTTTGACTGAGTGTGGATTCACATAGATAGATGTTTAGACATTTTGACTGAGTGTGGATTCACATAGATAGATATTAGACATTTCGACTGAGTGTGGATTCACATAGATCGATTGATGGATACAGAAATGTTATGTTAAGACATTTTGACTGAGTGTGGATTCACATAGATCAATGGGAAGACATTTTGACTGAGTGTGGATTAACATAGATCTATCGGTCGATGTTGGTTTCTTAATGTACAGTGGCAAATATTTAATGCATGTTCAGGACGAGAACAAATTAACAATAAATATTATACTAGGTAGGTCCTGAAATAGAGGTTGTCTAGAATGAAGGTCGGGAATATTTAGACTGCCACTGGAAAATGAGGGTATATTGGAAAGGGACAAAAATTTTGCCTTGCAACAGGCCACCTTGTGACCCCTCATTGCAACAGGCCACCTACTGACCCCTCAAAGATTTATTACAAGGGTTCTTAAAACGTGCAGAAAGCATGGCACTCTCTCTACACAAGGCATTGGATTTAACGTTCCCATTCTGACTCGACGTGATTCACAAAGATAGTATTGCATGTATAATAAGAGTTAATATGTTTGATATTTAGTCAATATAATCCAGTGCCATGATGTGATCTTCTGCAAATTCAAGATTTCCTGTGTGCCTTTATTATAAAATTGTGAAATTTTGAACAATAGCAAAACTGTAAGAATTATATAATTAAGATCTCAAGAAATGCTGCATATACAAATGCTTTTAAAAATTTCAAATATGAGTTATTATTTTGTTATGAAGCTTATGCTGTTGTAATTTTCGCATTAAAAAAAAACACCGCAAAATTTATGAATTTTCAAAATTGTTTACTGGATTTTTATACTACTTCGAGTTTATTGGAGTGTAAATGACTTTTTTTGTTTTTACTCAAAATATTTCATTACGAACAATTGTTAGAGTTCCTGTATAAAAAGAACAACCATACATTGTCTCGAAATATAAAATTTATGTGGACTCCGCTTGAAACAGGAGAGAAGTGCTCGGCAAAACCTTGCATTATACCTGTTTCTAAACCTTATACAAATAAATTTATTTTTGGAGACGGTGCATAGTATTTTGTTTAGTATATCTGTGCAAAATATTTTAGTAAAAAAGAAAAAAACTTAAAATATTTGACATTGTTTTTGCAGAGGAGATGTTAGAGAGACAGAGAGAGGAAGAAGAGAGAAGGAAGGAAGAGGAGGAAATGATGGCAAAGATGGCTGAGGAAGAGAGGTTGGAGTATGAGAGAAAGAAGAAATTAGAGGAAGAGGAAAGGAAAAGGAAAGAAGAGGAAGACAAGTAAGATTAAGGACACACTTTCGTTATTTTAATCTCCAAATACTAAAACAATCAGACTTTTTTTTTGTACATGGCTTAAAAAAGATATTTACACTTTTGGGTATTCAGCTCAATTTTGTCTTCGAATGACCCCAGTCTGTCTTTGAATAACCTTCTGGCGCCATACAATGATCTTTTTTGAATTATGACATCCAATATTTTGATCTGTAATGCAATATTTTGTGGTAACTTGTGTGGTCTTAAGTAATGGCGTACGAATTTGAATACAAGTGTAAATACTTCTATGTCTCCCTTGGAAATATTAATTATATTGAAAATTGCATTCTTAGTGCTCTCACATGTAAAATTCTTGCAAGATTTTTATGAAACTTCTATCATAGGTTTATATCAGCAATGTCTCTGACAAATTTGAAAATCAGTGCTGATCATTTATTTTTAAAAGAGTTATGCCCCTTGAAAACATTAGTTATATTGGAAATTGCATTGCATTTGCTCTCTAGCCTTCATTTCTCCAAGATATTTATTAAAAAAAAATATTGGCCTTGGACAGATAAAATATGTGCAACGCGGTGGACATTCGAATCCTGTTCTTTTATTTTATATTCCGATATTATTCATCAAAGTTGCATGCTTTTATAAAACAATGAAAATGTCATATTAAGATACAATGTTTGCCAAGTTGAGGAACAGAGTAAAGATGTAAATTTAGTAACGAAAACAACAGAATTGAGAATAGAAACAGGGAATGTGTCAAAGAGACAAGAACCCCACCAAAGAGCAGAAAACTGCCTAAGGCCACCAATGGGTCTAGCTAGCTTCCAGGCAGCGAGAAAATCTTGCACCCTAAGGCGGGATTCATCTGTCCCCCTAAATAATAATGTATACTAGTTCAGCGAAATGGAAGTTTGATCTGAGTTTATGTCAAAGAATAAAAGCCTCCAAAACTCTTTAATCGAATTAAGGCTTTGTTTTAAAGAGGATGCATTGTATTTTGATATTCTTTTTAGGAAAAGACGAGAAGAAGAAGCTCAGAGAGCGATGGAAGAAGCAAGAAGACTTGCAGAAGAAATGGCAAGGAAACAAGCCGAGATGGAAGCTAGACTTAAATTTAATCGAACATTACAAGTGGAGGCTCGTGGACTGGATCATTCACATAACATTACAGAAGCCTTTGTGTTCTCATACTTTGAATTATTGAATTGGTTTGGGTTAGACGTTCCAGAATTTGAACTCTTGAAATTAAGCCAGTATTAGTGCTGTACTTTCAATTATTGAAACATTTGAATTGGTTTGGGTTGGACAATCCAGAATTCAAAAGTTCTATTCTAGAACTCGTGAAATTAAGCCAGTATTAGTGTCCTAATTTCTAATATTGAATTGGAATTGGTTGAACATTCCAGATTTCCAAAGTTCTTTACTTGAACTATTGAAATTAAGCCAGTTTTAGTGTCGCTAGTTGAAAATTGGTTAGGATGTTTTAAACAAATGGAAATGGCTAAGTAATTCTGAGCTTTGTCAAAAAAATCATTAATTCTATATATTTGAAGACCAAACTATCAACTGATCTTTTTTCATTGCAAATTGAGATCGTATTTCAGAATGATATGAAAACTATGTGTAGGAAGAAATAATATGTTTTTGAGATGGTCCCTATTTTTGTTACCATAGAGATGATCCAGTGCAAAGAAAGCTTTTCTGTGATATTTTGTTGATGTTTCAAAAGAGTCATAGTTCTTGATAACGGAGATATGTAGTAGTTTGACAGAACTTTTTAAATAAACTTGAAAAAAATACAGATTTTTATACTTTTTCTTTCTACTGCTTTAATTTAAATTTTTTAATCTAAAGGAATTGAAAAATTAAATAATTTTGATAGATTTCCATATTATGCTTAGGTTGTTTTTAATCAAAATATGACAACCATTTTGTTTTTTTACAACAACTTAATAATCGGACCTGATGTGACCTTGTGGGGTTAAACATAGTAGTATTAAAGGGAGAATTAAATTATTTTTTTATAAACCAAATTTCTTTTCTTCTTTTTTTTATTTAATAAAAATATAAATTATTTTGCATTTATATGATATTTTACATTTATATAATATTTTGCATTTATGATGCTTATTTATATTTATGATCACATGCTTTTATTTATACTGTAGTTTTTAAACTAGCACACATTTACATGTTAAAAGTTTGGCCAATGGATAATTGTTGATGCATTTATTATATTTTATATGTAATATATTAAAGGATTTAAAAATTTTGCTCTCAAATCATGATAAAAAAAGTTTAAAAATTCTATTTAGGGAAATTGGAAGTTTAAAATAAAAAGCCAATAGAATTTCAGTGCCAAGTAACATAAAAATATTTTGATGTTCAGAGTGCCAATTTAGTTTGCTTTCATTTCATTGATCAGATTTTTACTGATATTGTCCAATCCTATTGCTGCTACTTGATATTAACTTTGTTGTTATTCAGCTATGAATCAATGTAATTGTTTATTATCTACAGATGGGAGCAGATGAAACATTCCATTGTGTTTACAATAATTATCAGTATATTTTTCCAAATGATTATTTTGAAAGTCAAAATCAGCATCCTTCTCATTTTCCATGACTAGTAAATTTATTCAGGTTTGTAAACAAAAATTACCTTCCTTGTTTGGCTAGTTATTTCTTGAATAGAAAATTTAACAAAAAAATCGAGTAGTATTTTATGTCAAGTTTATTTTCAGAAGGAACTTTTCTGCCTTTTTGATTATATTTCTTATCAACTAGCTCTCAGTGCCTCTCGCAAACCAAATATTCTTGTAAAATAGATTCTGTAACAAAAACATTTTAACACATGTTGGAAGTTGATCAAACCATATATATAGAATGTTACATCTGCACCTAACTGTATTGTTGAAAATGTGGATGCAATCATCATTGTTAAGTAGGTTTTATAGATTTTATATGTCTTATTGTTGATTTTATTGTGTAAAATGTTTTCTTTTTGTAATCCGTCCAAAATGGAGTCTTTCAATAAAATCTGTTTGCTTTAAGCTTCCGCACATTTTCTGTGAAATGGGTTCTATTAAAAAGATGGAAATCTATTTTTAGATTTTTATAGATTTGTTAAGGGTAATGATCTTGTAGTGAACCAAAAGGGTTCTAATTATTTTCGTCATAGAATAACTCTGGTGGAATAAATAGATGTCAGTATATTCTTATGAAAGATATATTTTGAACCAGTTCAAACTGATTTGGAAGTCTTTTTTATATATTGCTTATTGTTTCAACCATGGAAGTATTATATTCAACCTACATTTATGTTGAAATTAAAAAAAAACTTTTTTTTTTCAAAATTTATTTTTTTTTTTTTTTGTCTGCAAATTCTATAAATATTTTAATTTACATTAGAAAAATCCACTGTCCTTTTTATAGAAATCACTTAAGAATGGTGTACTTATCTGTTTTCCGACATTCCAAAACATTTAGTTATAAATAGATTTATATTTATGAAAATCCTCATTGCTGTTTATATTTATAGTCTTGCCATTGTTTTTGTAAGTTAAGCTGTTTTTGTAAGGGGAGATAATTATTGAAGACTAATTTGCATAATATCAAATTAAAAACAATGTGCTTAAGAAACTATTTTGGATGTATTTTTGTAACTGTTAATATAAAAAAAAAAAATATATTTAAGCTATATTTTTTATTTAAATATTTGAAATTTTATGAATGTATTTTCCAACAACTTTTCAAAGATTTTTGAAAGTTATTAAGTTGTACAAGTATGATTTTAAAAATCACCTTATTTTTCAATACCAGTTTTACTTTATTTCTATTTTTTTCATATTGTGTTTACAGATTAATAGTTTAATATATTTTTGTCTACCTTAAATTATAAGCTAAAACCCTTTTTTATATTTGAAAATTATTTCTAAAAATAAAATTTTACATGTCGGTTTGGGAGGTGTCAATATAATTTATTTTACATAACTTTCATGTTTAAATCATTGATACAACTCTTGCAGATGTTTATGGTTACAAATAAACTCTGTTTATGAATGATTTGGTTGTTCTTTTATCTCTAGGCCTTACTGGCTGACTTACAGGCATCTTTGTGCATTCAACGTCCTCTTAAATCCTCATAGTTCTTTTTTTCTCAAGAAAAATCTTCTCCCTTAAAAGATTGCTGCAAAGTAGTAGTTCCTTATGGGTTTTATATCTTAATTTGAAAACCTCCTGGTCAATGGCATTACTTGTGAATACGAAAGGTCATGACCTGGGATTAATCCCCAGTCAGGTTAAAGAGAGGTGAAAGATACCAACAGGATAATCAAACTCATAAGTCGAAAACAAACTGACAATGCCATGACAAGAATCAAAAAACAAACCAAAACACAGACAACAGTACATAAAAGTTGAAAACACAACATAAAAATAAAAACTGGGCAAAATACACCCCATCGAAGACCTGGGGTGATCTCAGGTGATCCAGGAGGGTAAGTAGATCCTGCTCCACATGTCACACCCATCGTGTAAGTACAAACCTGGTGATAAGTCTAATTAGGTAGGTCACTTTTGAGGAAAAGTTATATGACAGGAATGTAGTTAGTACAATTGGACCATATCTGTGAAACAAAGACTTTTACATTAATACTTGCTGCTTCTTTGCTATGCATGAGGTATTTAGAAGTAAAAACAAAGAATGGTAGGCCGAGAATTTGATCAGTGTGTCAGGGTAGGATGACATGTCTTCCAGCATGCTGCACAGGGGCAGATCCAGCCATTTTTAAAAGGGGGGTCCCAACCCAGGATAAAAGGCGGGGTTCCAACCATATTTCCATATTTCCTCATTCAAAAACATCGATTGTCAAAAACAGGGGGGGTTCCAACCCTCCTGGATCCACCACTGCTGCAACTTTGTGAACTATCGGGTTAAAATATCCAGCTCTGCTTGTACACCAGGATTAGTAGAAAGAAGCGTTCATATTCATATTACATAAGTATAGTAATATGCATTCAATTTGCCATTGGACGTGAAACTGCCATTCTTCATCATGCATCATTACTTGTGTTACTATAAATAGAATATCCCAATGATACACCAGTATTTACAATACTAATTTAGAGATAAGTGTATTGTATTTGACGCTTTGCGGATGTCCATCTTTTGTTTTACTGTCGCAAATTTAGTATCTTCTTTTGCGCCTAAACTAGGTGACATCATAGGTGTGCTGCCGGCAGATATTTGTTTTATTAAGGTCTGTTTGGTTTTCGGGAATCAAAATGTTTTATTAGTTTGGACTTTTTAAACTTTTGGTCTCGAGTTTGTTTATTGGTAAATAACGCCAATTCAGCTCCATGGACTGTATCATGTCGGTCAGTTTTTATTGTCGAGCCTGCGACACTTGTCGCAGAAAGCTCGACATAGGGATAGTGATCCGGCGGCGGCGTTAGCTAACTTCTTAAAAGCTTTATATTTTAGAAGGTGGAAGATCTGGATGCTTCAAACTTTGTATATGGATGCCTCATGTTACGAAGTTTCGGTCAGTCACATGTCCAAAATCCTTGACCTCATTTTCATGGTTCAGTGACTACTTGAAAAAAAAGTTAAGATTTTTTGTAATGTTAAATTCTCTCTTATTACAAGTAATAGGATAACTATATTTGGTATGTGCGTACCTTGCAAGGTCCTCATGCCCGTCAGACAGTTTTCACTTGACCTCGACCTCATTTCATGGATCAGTGAACAAGGTTAAGTTTTGGTGGTCAAGTCCATAATCTCAGATACTATAAGCAATAGGTCTAGTATATTCGGTGTATGGAAGGACTGAAAGGTGTACATGTCCAACTGGCAGGTGTCATCTGACCTTGACCTCATTTTCATGGTTCAGTGGTTATAGTTAAGTTTTTGTGTTTTGGTCTGTTTTTCTTATACTGTATGCAATAGATCTACTATATTTGGTGTATGGAATGATTGTAAGGTGTACATGTCTATCTGGCAGGTGTCATCTGACCTTGACCTCATTTTCATGGTTCAGTGGTCAAAGTTAATTTTTTGAGTTTTGGCCTTTTTTTCTAATACTATATGCAATAGTTCAACTATATTTGGTGTATGGAGATATTTTATGATCTATTTGTCAGTCACGCAGGTTTTATTTGACCTTGACCTCATTTTCAAGGTTCATTGCTCAGTGTTAAGTTTTTGTGTTTTGGTCTGTTTTTCTTAAACTATCAACAATAGATCAACTATATTTGTTGTATGGAAGAATTGTTAGCTGTACATGCCTGCCTAGCATTATTTATCTGACCTTGACCTCATTTTCATGGTTCATTGGTCAATGTTTAGTTTACTTGGTTAATGTTAAGTTTATGTGACAGTTGTAATAAAGCTTTATATTTAAGACTATCAACATAATATCAATGATTAGTAAAGAAGGCGAGACATTTCAGCGTGCGCACTCTTGTTTACTCATAATATTTGGTTAAGTGGGGGAGCAGAGCCTTTTGCTGTCAAACTACGTAACATTAAATCCAAGGCTTGCTTGTGGAACCTACACACTTCAACAAGACAGAGCAAAATTCAGCAGACACTCCGTAAGTCCAATTTGTCAACTATGTACACATGAACCTGAAGATCGTCAACACTTTATAATCAAGTGTAAAGCCTTGGAGGAAAATCACATTAGGTTTCCGTTCATCGACAAATTGAAATGCTATCTTAAGGACATTATCAGTGGGACTCTGTTTGATGAACTATTTCATGAGAGTAACAACTTGCTACAATTAATTATTGACTGCTCAAAGTTTCATTTCTTGTCAACTTGACAACATGTACATTTTGAGAAGATTAGTGCTGGACTATGTTTTACGGCTTGCACCAAAAGAGTGCATTAATCTTATGATACTGAAGTGAAGTAGTAAACAGTTATGTGATATGGACAAGATATATATGTGATAACATTTAAGTTGCAGTACCATCAGAAATGGGAACTGTAACTTTGTAGATATAATCAGAGACATATATACACATGTGTCTCTGATATCATGTTGGTGGGGTATGTACAGTGTACAGAGTATTTGTTCAATATTTTTATCTAACTTATTTTATAAGTGTACCGTTTTTCTTGGTGTCCGAGGATATTCATACAGTGACAATTCATAAGGATTCAACAAGTTTAATCTACACTGACAAAAGATAACAGTGCCAGTGGTTCATCTGATAGAGGTGCTAAATACAGGATAGGTAAAAGTAAAGGTGGAGCAACACAGAGTAATCAATGAGAACCACCGTCCTGCAGCAGGAAAACTTGCAATCCTATTCAATTTAGATCGATGTCAAACACGCCTGGTCACGAGAAGAGTTCCAACTCACACCATCAGTGTCAAGCTACTGTTCACACGTCACTGAAGATGAACTACTAGGACCAGTAGGCCCCTTTTGGGCTTCAGCTTATATTACCTGATGAAGGTAATTCGAAAAACCTGTATTCTGTGTACGGAAATTTGTATGGGGTTGGAGCTCCCCCTTTTTTGACGATCAATGGTTTTGAATGGGGATATATGGTTGGAACCCCCCTTTTAAAATGGCTGGATCCGCCCCTGGGAATGATTGTAAGGTATACATGTCCAACTGGCAGGTGTCATCTGACCTTGACCTCATTTTCATGGTTCATTGGTTCAAGTTAAGTTTTTGTTTTTGGGCTGTTTTTCTAATACTGTATGCAATATGTCAACTATATTTGGTGTATGGAAATCTTTAACGATGTGGCTTTTCGTTTGTTCAAACACTAGTTGAGTCTGATGGCTTTAAAATCATAAACAAAAAGTATACACAAAAACTGAAACTGATAGATGAAAAGACAGGCAATGTGGTGAAAGTTCTGCCAGACCTTTTTCCCGTCGTCCTCTTCAAAAAATGGAATTTGCCTCAAATGTAAAAGAACTATCGAAAAGGATATAAAACTTTAAGAAGAATTACTACAAATAAGACGTGATTTATCATACAAACGTCAGAATGTCATGAAAACACAAATTAATAAACCATCTCCACGAAGGGCAACAATTACCAAAAGAATGTTGCGTTCACAAGTTATTCCCGCTGAAAAACAACAACGAACTCAACTTTCAAAATTAATACCCTTACGATTGGTACTACTGCAACTTTCATGTCAAAGAATTGGCAAAGCAACAAATTCCAAATTTGTATCTCTAAATACAGCTCGAAAAAAGATATATGAAGTGTAACGAAATCAGAGTTCTATATTTTAATTAGATTGTATAGGAACAAGTCTGCTATTAAAGGGGCACAATTGGTGCCCTGAGAATACCTAGTTTATTGCCGAAACGTACATAAATGTTGTCAAGGAGAAAATTTAGGGCTTTAATCACCTCATCAAACCCCCAGTAAGAATATCTAGCATATTTACCTAAGGTTCTCATTTGAAAAAAGACTTTATATGAGTTGCAGCAAATACATTTGCAATCAGATTTATCAGAATTTTTTAGTTGTGTCACTTACGGATCGAAACAAAGTTTTGTTTTGCGTGGCAATACATCAATGTACAAAAAAGTTAGTAGCTGCTCAATCTATCAAAGAGAAATTTCCTTTTGGAATTTTTATAGAGGTGTTCCAAACAAATGTAAAGTTATGTAGCTTTAGTAGTTGTCGTCTGTTTATGTGGTTCATACGTGTTTCTAGTTTCTCGTTTTTATATAGATTAAACCGTTGGTTTTTCCGTTTGAATGGTTTTACACTAGTAATTTTTTGGGGCCCTTTATAGCTTGCTGTTCGGTGTGAGCCGATGCTCCGTGTTGAAGGCCGTACCTTGACCTATAATGGTTTACTTTTATAAATTGTAACTTGGATGGAGAGTTGTCTCATTGGCACTCATACCACATCTTCCTATATCTATTAGCTTGAGCCGATCTTCCAACCAATACGGCCACCAACAGGGACGAAAATCTATCAAGAAATGAAACATTAATTACCATGCAGGAGGCCGCCCTGCCTTCTTCTTTCAAAGACCAAAGTTAAGGTTGTACAGTAACCTACAGAGCGGCTA